CTCATGTAAAGATTACATCCACCTTGACTGACAGGCTTTTGTAAGAAAACGACATCTTCCGATTTTGGTTAGATAAACTCCAGCACTGCACACAATCAGTGCAGGTGGCGAACTGTGACGACCCACAGGGACAACAAAAGAAGGGGGAATAATAAAAAAAAGGAAGGTAAAAGATGATCTGTGCTCAGTTCATGATTCACCACCCAGGTCTTTGGATATGGAACAAAAGCCGAATGGAAACCTTTTCACACAGTGTGGGTTAACACGACAAAGGAGGTGAACAATAGAAAAACCACTGAGTCAGAACAAACAGGCTGAAACTGGAATTTCCACAAACTTTATCTCAGGTCAAATTTAAACACAGTTAAGGTACATTTACAAGCTTGCTGCTGCATATCAATCTTTTTTGAACTGGATAAAAAAATGTGTTATTTTTTGGTTTTATAATTAAACAATGTCAATTACATAAATCTATTGTCCAGTATTTAATAAATAAATCTTGGGCCCCAAAAGGTAAAAACAAAACCCACCTTTAATCATTTCTAACCAACAGTCTAAATACAGAAAATGAATGTTTGATTGACTGACTTTTATTTTCAAGTGGACTCCACTCAACTAATGAGAAGGCATCACTCACTCACCTTCTGGTAGTACACGTAGGCAAGAACTCCAGCCACCAGTTCAATCAGGAAGATAAAGAGCAGGCAGAAGAAATACTGTGGAGAAAAGACAAGGACACACAGAGACAATTAGAAAACCAACCAAATTATAAACCAGACACTTGACTTTGGCACAGTTTGTCATCGGTGCAGACTCGTCTGAGGTGGTGGTGTACACCCATGTGACTGCTCAATTAAAACCCCCATCAACTGTCATTGTGCTGCATCTGTCACTTTGTAACACAGATGGCTGAGCTGCAGAAAGACAGGCGGCCAGAAGACTGTGACAGACTGTGGAGTCAGTCTCCATCCTTAAAACCGGCTCCCAACACTTTGTGGAGCCGTCACAGACATCACTTGATTAAATTAATTAACCAAGGGAACAAACACGCTTTGTGGTTTTTCATAAAAACATGGCTCTTCAAATACTAAGACATATCAGGGTAAATTTAATTAGCTAATTATCAACAATTTGGCAGCGTATACATCACTGTTAGTAATTTTCATATTTACAGCTTCCTCCTCAGTGATTATCCAGCTTTGGTGAGTTTGTACTGGACAAATTACAGGATTACAGCATCAGACCCAGTGCATCCCACACACATAGATGTTTCTATTTTGTTAACATAACACATAATGAATCTGCTTAACTCATATTATTATTCTAATTCTTCAAACTGAACTTTGAACCTAAGAATTCCCTCTCACTCTTTGGGGACCTACAAATGTCCCCAGAAGCACAAAGTGTCCCCACAACAATTTAATTTTTGAACAGAGAGTCCCTTACACATGTACAGTAGCTGAACCACAACACACACAGACACACACCATGCTACACATTCAAACACATACAAATATAACTAATTAGAGCGGCCTGTCTGTCTGTTCCAGAGTGGGACACTGTGACAGCAGAGCCATTGCTGCTTCACTCCAGTTGATTACACTGACAGATGCTACTACCTACGCTGCACAATGACAAACAGACAGCTGCACAGGGAGGGCGGGACAAGGGTATCAGTGGATTAACTTTACGACACTAAAGCAAACACTCTCTTCTACACTGACAGTTGTGACAGTTACTGTTTCGAACAGGGACGCTGCCTGATCTGAGTTGCTTAGACTTCAGCAGTGAGTGAGAATTAGCACAAGTTATGCATGAACCTATGCTGTTAACAGTCAGACTGGGAGATGTTCAACAAATTGCTTAATATTTTCCACCTTAAAAAATTCCAAACCAGATTAATACTTAATCAACATTAAAAAAATCAGGGCAGCTCTTGTTTAGACCAAATTTCAGGCTGCAAAATATTTATCAGTAGGTTTTATGGAAAAAGACTTAGATTCTAGGTCAGTGCTCATCAACTGGTGGTCTGCGAGCCAAATCTGGCCCATCGACATCGGCCTTCTGACAAATATAGTTGGTGACCCTTATTCTAGGTACTTGTTGTTTTGGAACAATGTGCCGGTTCTGGCAATAAAAGTCACAGGTGCAGTTACGGTGTTAAATGATTGATGGGGCAAAACTAAGGTTTTACACTGCAATTTACAAATGTCATGAGCAGCCGGGGCATGAACGGCAACAGTATATTTCAATTTAGACATTACTCCCAATTTTCCCATCGACTCGATTTACCCAGTTTTTGTCTTCAGTGCATTATATTCAGCCTCCCTCGATACTCAGCAGCTGTGCAGGATGTTCAAAGATACTCTTTATTCAGTTTCTCTTTAAGCAGAGCTGACAAGATGAGCGACAGTGCATTAGATAATATCTACATCAGGGTTCCCGGTTTGTTGATCCAAAATGTAGCTGAGCATACACTGCATTACTCTGGAATAACTGTAATATACACCAGAGACCTTGCCTCCACTCTGGGCTAAGTGTAGCAAAAACAGGATCTGTGAAGCCCCATCTCCACCAGTCTTGTTGTCTGCCATCCGCACACAATGCCAGCTACACACACAGACCCAACGTTGACATCAATCATTCATCCTCCAAATCTAATCTGTAAATGGAACATCGATACTGTTTATATTCAAACAAAAAGCTCTGGACACAATTTCTCAAGACAACTCCTGAAAGCCTGCTGTCTCCCACAGTTCCCCATCCATCAAGATTACTATATATAGTCTTGGAGCCAACTTCCTGCCCAATTGTTTATCCCCATCAGGCCATGTTCCTGTAACGGGAGGGCGGAGTATAAAGAATGGGCCCTAGAGAAATATGAACTTTAAGTCATTTAAAGAATAGTTGTGTTAATGGTGCATCACACGTCGTTTGTGACACATACCACTGGTCAAGATAACACTCCATAGCTGTTCTTATGTTATGGAATGACACTTCTAGTCTAGTCTTAGATGCTTTGGTGCCACAGTCTCAAAACCTGGTTCACTCTAATGTATTTATTAAAAATTCACATTCTTCTCTCCTGTTGTTTTCTCTCACCGTTGACAAACAGCTCCTCTGTTCCCGGATGACAGCACAACAGCCCAGGAATCCAGTGACTACCACCAGGCTGCCGGCCAGGATAAGGATATATGCAGACACAGCAAAAGTGCTGGAAGCCAAGAGACTCAAGTAGTCGCTCTTCTCCACCAGTGTCCACACTCCAACGCCCAGAACTGCAGCTCCACCCACCTGGAAGAGACATGCAGATGGAGAATGGGTATGGGTAGTCAAGGAGAAAAACAGATGCTTTCAAACTGATCTGGAGGCAGCAAACAAAAACTATGACAATGACATCATAACAAAAAGCTGAAAGACAAAGCTTTTAGGTTGTGAACTGACAAGAAAATGCTTAATTTTAAATGACTCATTAACTGAAAAAAATTTGAGAAAAAAAAACAAATAACAGTAGAAAAAGAAGTGAGGAAATTGGAAAAACACAGTGCTATAGAGAGTTGTTCATGTGAAAAACACACAGCTATAGTAGCAGTTTGTCTTCAGAGGTCAAGCCAGGTCATGAAGACATTCTTTCTGGATAACAGCCCAAGACTAGAAGGGAGAGACAGGAAATGCTTCACTGTCTTTCCACTAAATCTAAGCCTTTTCGTCAAAATCATGGGCTTTCTATTCAGCTCAACACATGCCAAATGAAGGAAGCGTCACTAGGACACAAGGGCCCTGTGGGAGATGACAAAAATGTACTGCCACAAGACCAATGTGAAAAGGAAACTTGGACATGAAATGGAAACTTTATAGAAGGATATCATTTATTCTGTAGTTTTAGGATGACAGAGGTTTACCCTCAGTTTTAGTTTTATCTTTTTACACATCATTTCTTTTTAGACTCTGTATCATGTTTTGAAATGACATTAAATACAGACTGCAGTATAATAAAGTGCAGTGCCAGAGAGCAGATGTGATTCACTGTTCCCTGCTGCACACTGAAGAGCCCTGAATAATCTATGGCTCTCTTTGGGCCAAGTACCCAGCTCAGCCTTTTCATAACCAGGACTGTCCTTCATTCACCAATGTCTCTCCAACTGGACTGTAGTCGTGAAGTCAGATTTTTCAAAAGACATCAGAAAGCTAGAACAAACCCTGTTCCAAATTTTCAATAATTTTAACAGCTTTGGTTAGAATTTGCATTTTAGACTTACTGTACATATTTCTTGGAACTGCTTGACTTACCCTCATACCATTGCACAACCTAGGTTGTCTGGCCACTTACCCAAAAGAGAAAGTTGAACACAAACAGAAGGTACTTCAGACACACAGTCAGCCAGTCCTCCTGGTCATCTTTATATTCCACTGACATCTTCCTTTGAATTCAGTGCTAAAAAGGTAACAAAAAAGTAGGTCAATTTTTAGTGTAAAGTGAATGTAAAGTTTAGCTTACTTGTGTTGAACGTCTATTCACAAGATGAGTCAACAGTTTTTTTTAAAAAACTATGAATGAAACAGAAAATATTTAAGTATAAGCAGCATAAAAACAGGAGGTAATTATTTACCAAAAAAAAAACACCAATTTAAATCCTCCCCTCACACATAGACTATTGTCTATTGTATGCTCTTGGATGGATGGTTTGACTTGTACACCCACAGAGTGAAGCACTGGCATGAATACATTTAAAATGCCATTCTGGGTCTGCTGCTGTCAAATATGCAGGCCCACATCTGTCAGGGAGGAACAGGTTGTTACAGTCTTTGGTCTGAGGATACATTCTTTCTGTTGTTATCAAAGTTCAGTGAGGAGGTTTGGAGAAAGACAGCAAAGACTGGAAGTCTGTAGAAAAAAATAAAATAAAAACGAAGAATCTGTCTTTTTGGAAAGGGCCCGTCATGGTTGGTGAAGCACACCTTTTTAAAGAACACAATCATCTGGACACATTTAGCTGTGTGCTTGGATGACAAAGATACAAACTTTTCTTTCTTGGACATGACAACCATAATGTGGAAACACATGGTCAACAGACCAGGACAATCAAACAACTTAGTGCCTTATTTGGTAAGGCAATGTATGCTGGGAAAGTCACAAATAATTATTTCAATAAAATGATGTTCTCAAATGACTCAATTCTCTATGGAAATAAACATTAACTTTAGTGCAACAGTGGAACAAATAATCCAAAATGGTCACATTAGAGGGGGGTGTCCACATTTTTATTTGCTTGGGAGCAAATGACCAGGCTAAAGTGATTGACCCACATTGAAAACATCATATATATACAGTATATTTACTTATGTAAGCCGAACTTAGTTACAGCATATGCATTATGTGTTGGGGTACTTAATAAATGCATGTAGCTGTATCACGCAATATGATTTAGATCTTACAGTTTATGGTCACTACTATACACTACAGAATTATGTTTTTTTTTAATTGCTCATGATCTACTAGTACCAATATGTTTATAATGTTAATTATAAAATATTCTAATAATCAGTATTAAGTGATTAATTAAGTGGTAATTCAGTGGTTGAAAAGTTTACCAAAGTAAAAACAAAACACAGTAAATTTGAACGCAAAAACAGTGCCACCACAACATAAAAAAAATGTCAAATTTAACTAAAAAAATAGAAAGACTATCAGACTGGATGACAACTCAGACTGATGCTGTTTATTTTATGGAATGTCATAAGTGCACATACAACAACATCAACATCAGCACCTCCATCTATCCCGAAACCACATCTATAAATTTTTCATGTGACTGAGCAGACCATAAACCTGTGAGTTATTAACAGAGTACACAGTTACAGTTCTGTAAATAAGAGGCCAGTGAAGTGAGAGCCACTTATCTCCACGACATCGATCAGCACTGTGGATACAAGCGCCAAAGGAATTCGCACAGGTATTGTGTTCATAGGCCAGAGACTCCACTACATGACCAGGAGATTTACAGCAAATTTAATATAATTTGTCTTTACTACTTTTGACTGGATGAATTTATTTTATTTAAATTTTCTTATTAAGTGCTTCTTCCACGACCTGACCACTGTCATACTCTGTAATACAAACCTGATATTTATCACTTTACACAAATGAAAAACATCCTTACTAACATTTACTTTACACAATTGACTGTCATTAGTGTATGAATATGATGTTTTTATCGTTGGCTTTATTGGGGATTTGCAATATTTGTAGGACAATTGTATTAAATGTTCTCCAAAAAATAAAAATTAACAAATATACTTTTGAATATAATTTCTATATAATTGTTCCTTTTTGCTGACTTACACTATTGCTATTTTTGACTAAACTTATTGGTACCCATGCTTTTAGCTAACAATAGCCAGGCTAACACATTTTGTTAACTTATGGCTACCAATATTGCTTAACTCACTCCTAGTTTTTTGTATTTTCTCACTCAATACTATTTCTCCCTTCTTTTTGGCTATGTTATTTGAATAAAAAGCAAAAAAAATACAAACGTCTTGAAATTTGTCCAAAGTGCGGCGTCTGCGGTTAATTACCTTAACAATTAGACAGACCTTCAAACATTGGTAGCGCCATACGTAGGCCACGCCCAATCCAATCCGTTAACACCTGGTGAAACCTCAGCACTAACTGAAGTATTAATGCGCAAGACAAAATATTGCCACAAGTTCACAACAGTTTTACATCCAGAAATGTTATTTTTATTACATAAAAATAATGTATTGTTTTTATATATCATTACTGAATGCTGCGTTTACCCAGTATTGACAGGCAAAAGCTTCTTAACTGACGAATAACTTTTTTACGGTGGTGTTATCCGGTCCGGACCCGTAAACTAAGCAACGTGTCCACTATCACAGTTTCCTACTATGCCTACTATATCCTGCTGTGAAAATGTTAGACTTTGACCGGTGACACTGTAATTCAATGACCATATACAATGTTGACCACCATTTTGGTTTAACAAAAACTTTCCACAATCTACTGTTTTCCCCAGGTCGCGTGAAACAACCTCAAGCATCCTACAACAAATGACACCCCCTTCACCTGCGTGGTTGATGCCGAGGACAGGACAAAGTTAAATCACAATTTAGCAACATTTTTATGTTTTTCAAATCGTGAGCGGCACATACTTACCGGACTGTAAAAAAATAGGGCACCGATAGTGTCGTTTTGTAGGTGTATTCCCGTAAAAAGTAGGTACTGTACCACTGCAGCAGAGAACGTTTGGTCCGGTCGAGCTTGTTGCTTCCACAACGTCGGACAGAGGATGCTGCGTTCATGCTCACTCGTATTTTATAAATATTCTACTACTCACTGTTATCGTTTACGTTGTGATGTCAAATATATTTTCGTAGATAGACAACTAAAATATACAAAGACACGTTGTGATTATAATCGTATTCGGTTACTAATAAGAAGATAAAACGGAATTAAACGACAGTATAAACCTGTCCCTCCACGTTTATTACGTTAACGGTTTTGTTTCTGAGGTTTGTGAATGCAGCCTTCGTGTGAACTTGAGGAAAGAACGACAATGGGCTGTGGCAGAAAGGAAAATGGAGCAACCTGAGTTACAGTGTAAACTACAGAAAGCCCCTGAATAGTTTCACGCTTGGCCGAACACAAATAAAACGATACAGTAAATAAACCCAACAAGACATTGGGAGAAAGAAAAATAAATTTAAAGTAGTTAGCTTAACACAAAGGGTTGAACTGTTGTATATTTTGAAAACATTTAAAGAAGTCCTTTTTGTGGCAAATTTCTACGTATTTTTTGCTACATTCTGACCCACCTTTGTTCGTCTACATTGTCCATATTTTTCCAGCAATTGTCCCTTTGGTAGACACGAATCTTGCTTTCCTAAGATATTTATATATAATTATAGATATTATTTATATTTAAAAATGTAAAATATGACTATGAATAAGTCAATTGGGACTACTTTAAAACATGTTCATCTCTAGTACATCTCTAGCTGTATATTCGGTGATTCTGAACCAGCTGTTAGCAATTTTAAGTAGCACAGTTTTTGAACAGATTTCTGGTTGTAGTCCATATACCTTCTTTTAAAAACTTAAATACTGAGGCTTAAAAAAAGAAATAAACAATTTATTTAATTTCTCGTGTTTAAAAACACGTACTATTCTAATGTGAATGAGCAAGTGGTTTTTGATGCTGTAAAAGTTTTCCGTACAACGTAACAACAGCGCCTCCCGAATCTTTGGTAGGTCATAGTAGGCAATTACAAGGTACAAATAATTAGGCGTCTTTGTAGAAATGCCTGACTTACACGAAGTAAAAATAACTTTTTAAATTAAATAAATATGTTTTTAAAAATGAAAACTGCTACACAAAAAACTTGAATGAATAAAAATGCTAAATCATTTATAAAACTCAATTAGAGCTCTTCTCATTCCTCTCTCTGGTTCATGCCTTTTCAATGTGATTTATTTTTCATTAAAAGGAAAATTTCTACTCTGACAGAACATCTTCCTTACTTTGCATTGCTTTTTACCTACAACTCACTAATCCAAAGAGCTTGGATGTCTTCAAGGTTATAAAATGGTCACAGGTGCAGAAACTCCCCAGTGGTCACACTGATGACCACTGACCTAATGGAACCACCTGACAGAGGATACCATGAATCAAAGTGATCCAATTTTTCCACCATGACTAGAACATGATCCAACAATAAAATCTAGATAGGGTCTGGGTTTTATTTTCATGTATTTCTATTAGAAATAAGAAGAACTTTGGTCTCCAGCTCTGTCGATGTGTGAATACAAGAATAAGGTTTGAGGTTTGAGCAAAGAGGTTTGCTCAACAGAGCAGACATCACATGATGTAGATAAGGGTGAGAGTAACTGAATGTCATGGTAAAGCGTCTGCAGGCAGGTGTGCTGTTTCTGGATGAATTTCGTTTCGGAGGAGCCAGACGGAACGCAACAAAGCAAAAAAGCCGAGGATTTTCTGAAAGGGAGGTGGATTAAAATCACTGAGCTTGAATGTAGAAGCGTTCAGGTGGAACAACCGTCACAGTCTGAGGACCACTATCATTTCCACCAGAGCCTCGACAATCTGTGTTGACCTGTAAATAAAGGCCTGAGGATCAGCGCGGGCCAACTTCAGAGGTATTGATACGAAACTGTGAATAGGTTGAAATGGGTGAGTTGACAAAATAATGGGAGAGCAACTTTTAGACCGAGGGCATCTGTCTGGACAACACTGGAGGAGGTTTAATGAGGCAGAAGGCTCAGTCATTGTAGGTATTTTTTTTATTCTGAGAAGGTTAGGATTAGGATTAGGCTTTGGTTAGGAAAGAAGGGATAACAAAGAAAAAAGGTTAAAAATTGTGGACTCACTGTGCAAATATGGAGAACCAAGTGTAATATTAAGGTTTTTGGTTGGAATCACCATGACAATGTGAGGAGAAAGCAATGAGAAAACATAATATCAGTAACATCTTTTCTTAGTGACATTGTTACATTAAGGCAGTGGTTCTCCCAGAAGGGCCCGCCCCACTATTTGAGTACTGCATTAAGGTGTAGGGGAAAAGTGTCCAGAAGAAGGAAAGAGGAGCTGAGCTCACCAAACTCCCAAGAAACACCAGCTAATACATGTTTGTGGCTCAGCGTGCTCCAGGTTCAGGTCTCTCTCAGCAGCTGGAAGGATGTGGAGTCTTATTCTTGGAGCATCAGCAGAGAACCAATCAGCTGTCACCTGTCATGTGTGCCTGCACACACCTGCGACCGACCTCACTCACATCCTGTACACGCAGAGAGAAAGGCGTGAAGGGGACAAACGCGGAAAAGCCACAGAACAGAAACACTAATGTGCAAAGATTCCAGAGACGTTTACTTTTAAATCCATTCAGGGTCATGTGGACGGGTGGGAGCCAATCCCAGGACACACCTTGGACAGGTCATCAGTGCATCACAGGGTAGAGACCACAGGTAGAGACAGACAGTCATTAACGCAGGGTCCAAGATAAAAAGTTAGATAACACTTTCTTTTGTCCGTGTTTCACCATTGAGATTTACAGTTTCAAGATAAAAAGTTAGATAACACTTTCTTCACCATTTTCTTCACCATTGAGATTTACAGTTTTCAACAAAAGCTGAACATGTTAGCTTCATATCGCTGTATTATTCAATGACTACAGTAGTTGTCTGCCCACTCACTTCCCTTCTGACTTCTGCTCCTGTGCCGCTGCCCCCACACTGGTGTGTGTGTGTGTGTGTGTGTGTTCATGTATATATGTGCAGAGATGATGCACACATTAACTTGAGAGTGAGTGGGCCGATGTTCTTAAGCACCACTGATGGAGTTCTTCCATAACTGTGAACAAAACCTGCTGTGTTCTATTGTGTTTTGTCTAATCATTGTTAGCACACAAGCTGAGTGTTATGTTTTCTTTCTTTCTTCTTTTCCCTTTGCCAACAAATATCTTCTTTCAAAAGTAGATTGCAAACAAATACTTTCAAACAGCACGAAACTCTCGGAACAATGAGCGTTAGCCACGGTATCTCTACGATCGAGAGCGAATTGAACGGCAAAACACAGAGAGCGGAGCGTAAACGGAAAAATCATCAAAACCCAGAACATCACGATCAGAATTGATCTGAGATGAGACCTCAATTGAACCCACCAGTCCCTCTGACTGCACATCATAAAAATGTCAGCTTGTCTTGCACCGAAAGCCATTTTCATTGAATAATAGACAAAACAATAATAAAATACAAAGTACATTTCTCCAAATAATGACATTTGAATTAATTTGTCAGCTTTGTGCCACCAAGTTGGGGCGACATTTGAATTAATTTGTCAGCTTTGTGTGTTCCAAGTTGGGACATGACCCCTACAGGCTGTAAGGCAAGAGGACTAATCACTTCATCACACACAAAAAGAATGTCACTGAGGTCAATCAGAGACAAAAATCCTACTCACTTCACCCATTTATCACCTAGTTCACATACCATGTATGTGGACTAGGTGATAAATATACAGTTGAGACATGTCACTGAGGTCAATCAGAGACAAAATGTATATACAATATATATATATACAGTTGAGAGAGTTGTCACTGGTCAAAATGTATTTCACCAGTGGGTTCCCACCATCAGTAGGCAGTAGGACCAGTAACTGTACCAATCCTTACATTACTGATCGGGGGATAAATACGGCTGCTATAAAAATAGCTGCCGTGATCACCTGCGTTACATAATGAAGCAGCCGAGAAGCCGAGCGGCTGTAGAAGAGCCGGGGCTCCTGCCACAGTGAGGAGGCGTCAGTCTTTGAGGAGCGGGGATTTATTTCTTCTTCATGTTCTGTTATAATTATTCGGACGTCGTCACTGGAGATCGTGTGACTTTGACCCTCCGGACTGTTCTGTATTCTTTACAACTTTCCAGATCAAGTCCAGAGGCAGCGACGGTGTCTCCGTCCCAAAAGTCAGATTTCCGTTCTGTGGACTTTCGTCTTTCTGTTGCATTTTTATTTTCCCGATTTTTGCAGCCTGGAAAGGATGGATGCGAGGAGACACGGAGGCTCCTCGCTCGCCTCTAACCTGCAACCTTTCCCTCGTTTCCTTCTCGCCCTGCCTTCAGTGCTCCCTCGTTCAAACAACCTGTGTGACATTCTCACCATGGATTAGTGCTGCTTTCATCTCGCTCTAATTATTTTCACAACTTTTTTTTTTTAATCCAAACTGGTCGCAACTCATGGCAGTCTGCCCACACATGCGTTTCCTACTATGACTTCCTTCTCAGTAAGTCATCCAGCCGTAAACCCTGTGGATAGGAATTCTCATCAACCTCATTATCATCATCAGTACAGTTGTTGTAACAGTTCGTTTTGCTGAAGAGTTCAGAGTCTTGGCAGAGTTGCAGTCTAAATCTCGTTGCCTCTCATGGGATTAAGGCATTCGTCGCGTTGTTTGCTGCTACGGCGGAAGATGGCGGAGGCGGACAGCTCAGAGGTAAGGACCTTGTCACGTCCTGCACCCGGGTTTGCGGCGGCACCCGAGCGATGCAACGTCGGTGTCGGTTTGATTGTCTTCGTTAAATGAGGACCACACGTCCTGACCGTGGATTCAGATCCGACTCATTCAGAGAAAAGCCGGTGTTTGTGGACCGCCGCTGTGCAGCAGGAGCAGAGTGCATGTGCTCCGGTGTCCTGCAGATGTTAGTGGAGGGTCCGCTGTATGTGAACGCACTGGTAGTAGTGATGGGTGGGGAACATGTGAGGAGAAGGTTCAACGTTCGACTTCGGATGCGGGGATTTTAATCATACTCGCTGTCCTTGGTGCTGAAACTGCATCCGTGTCTTTGGCCACTGATCGTCTTTCCGCGTAACTGTCCAGCAGCCGAGCTGCAGGGTTACATCTCTTTTTAAAATGTATTCTTACACCATTGAGGTTTGAAATATATATATTTTTTCAATATCTACCATATATATTTAATCGTTGGGCGAGAAAACACACTCGTGTCAGGCTTAAGAAAAGTCCCCAAGAGACAAGAACTAAATCCAAGACAAGGTCAGTCATTGACGGTAGAACCTGAGGTGCACCAGCTTTTATGGCTCTCAGAGCAGGAGCAAACACTGAGGAGTGAAAAAAATAATCAAATGTTACTGTCTTTATGCCAACTTTCAAATATTTTTGTACATTTGTTTTTAAGTTTCTTCATTCAAAGCTATATTTTCCAGAGTTTGGCTTAAACACTTTTTCAGCTTGGCTTCGACTCAACTTAGACTTGATTTAATAATAAGGGCTTTTTTATAGACAATAATCCTTTAATAGACACTTTATAGACTAATTCTGAGTCGGACTCTTCTCCTACTCTTTTTTTTCCACTTTCTTAGTCTTCAAAAATTGGAAATTCTTTTCATCTGTGATGTTGAAATCGGTTTGAAACTATTAAAAAAATCGTCTCATACTTGACAACCTTCCTTTTTTGCCGACTTGGACTAGAATTTAAACTCTTACTTTGAAGGCTTGACTTTCACAGAACCACTTTCAGGGGACCAGCAGGTGATTGCACTCTTAATGCCTCTAATCCTGTGATTTCCCTTCTAGGAATCAGTGCTGACAGAAATTCAATTATTTCTGATTAATTAAGAAATACTTCATTCTGTACCCCAAAAGAAACCCTCAAAACGATTTCCTCTCTTCCCTTCTCTGGAGCAGCGACAACAGCCGGTCTCATCCTCCCTCTCTCAGTCTGCCCAGCCTTCCTCTCTGCCAAAGCCGGTGCCTACGACCCACCATGTGCCCTGCGTCCCTCATGTCCCTCATGTCCCTCATGCGCCTCATGTAGCAGCCATGTCCACCTGTCCTGGCAGAGGGAAGATCGCCAAGTTCCTCAGCCCGGAGGAAATGACATCACGGGACTACTACTTTGACTCCTATGCCCACTTTGGCATCCACGAGGTAAGAGGTGCAGTCGAACAAGGGTCACCCAGCACTGTAAGAGAAAATCTGCAGTTAAAATCGAACAGAAATGCTAACATTTTCAGACATTTAAAGGAAAATACATCATTTACAACAATGCCATCTACACTGAAAGGAAAAAAAAACATCTAAAAGTTTTACACATTTCTCTACAACCAGACCTCATATAGAACAACTTTTAGTCCCTTTAAAAAAAAATAAACCTAACATTCGCGGAGTCCCTCTCAGACATAAAGTGAAAGTTTCATTAGTGAAACTTCAGTAACATATGCAGTATCTTTGAATGTCCTTGGTCTACATATGGATGATGGCAGATTTTTGGGGACATATATACAATACGGCGGACCTCTTTAAGGTGGACTCCATATTTAGCATGTGGGTCAGGTTTTTGTCTGCTCACGGACAAAGATGGTGTCCTGATTAAAGGAGTGTGAAACAGGAAAAAGGAGAAAGTGGGATGTGTGAATGGTCTCTGGGAGATGGATATCAGGTCGTTCCCTGAAGGCTTTCTGTTGTGATCCTGTCTATTATAAGAAGCTCCGCCGCTGTCACACAGGCCTGTGGCCTGAATACTGACTCATTTGCACCACTCCATTATATACAGCACTCTGCTAATTTGACAAACCATTAAAACTTTATCACAAAGCAGATCTCACTGAATGTGTGCTGTTTGTGTGTAGACATTAAATTAATCCCAAACACAGATCTTTTTATTCTGAGTGAAGGAAAAGTTTACAATAAAACAGTGCAGTGTGTACACTGAACAACAGGGCAATAAACATCAAAAAAGTGATTAAAATAAAAAATACCAAAAAGAAATGACCAAAAATGTAGCCAAATATTTTTTGCCTAGGCAGAAGAAAAAGGAACATAAAATTATATCCTGAAAAAAGTCAGCTAAAATTTGGCATAATCATATTCTTAAATGCTAAAGTTTTATTTTAAAACAATGACAAAAAGGCTAAATATAGCCATAAAATATAACATATACAGTACAACAGGTTTAAAGTCAGTTTAAATAAAATAAGATTGTAAGAGACGGTGAAAAGTTGCGAACACCCAAATATTTGCAAGAAATATATTTAAATATTAAACAAAAGAAAAGCAATCAAAAAGTTAGCTTAAATATATTTTTATAAAAATATAAAAAAGAAAACTCTAAATATATATCTAAAGACATACCTAAAGGTTACAGTAGCAAAACCTTCATTAGAAATGCTTCAAAACAATAAACATAAAAGCCAAAACAAAACTTAAAGTTCAAATAAAAATTCAAAAATTATTTAAAAAAACAAGATGAGTAAAAGCTCATTTTAAAAAAAATCACAAAGAGACAATACTTTGTCTCATGCGTACATTGACTGAACCCCGACCCTCTGTTTTATCTCCGTTGGGAACAGGAGATGTTGAAAGACGAGGTGCGGACGCTGACCTATCGTAACGCCATGTACCACAACAAACACGTCTTCAAGGATAAAATAGTCCTGGATGTCGGCAGTGGAACCGGGATCTTGTCCATGTTTGCCGCCAACGCTGGGGCCAAGCACGTGTACGGGGTGAGTACACGAACACGGTGCAGCCCAGGAGCTTCAGCCATTTCTTCATGTGTACTATTTTTATCTAACCTCACAATCGCACTCTTCTGTTTTTACCGTTGTTCCGCGCGTCACTGACTTGTTTTCTCCAGACATCTCCCGGATGGTTCCGTCTGAGAACCATCTGGCTCCTGAGCTGCACCTCACACGTTATACATGACCGTCAGTGTCTCCCACACTCATGCTGTGTACCATTCCTATGGATGTCAGTGTTAAAAGATGCAGAATTTTAATGATGATGTGGAAAGAATATCTGCGGAACAAATGGCACTCTGGTCCTAAAAACTGACATGACACGTGTCTCGTTGGAGACCAGATTCATCGACACCCAAAAGTCAACTGTTATTTACTATGATCAAGTTAGGTCACCAATATGGGGTTTCATCTGAGCCTCAGAAACTAAGGATCCAATCGAGTTATACACAAGTCACCAGATCCAAGTCCAAGTCATGGAAGAAAAGTTTGAATTAAGTCCAAGATATACTGAAAAGGTTTTTTTTATCTTGTTCAAGTCACCAAAGAATGTCTTGTTTCTCCAAGGGTTCAAGTCCAAGTCACCAAAGAAAAGTCCTATTGTCAATTTTCCAAGTCCAAGTCACAGAAGACGTTGAAGGTGGTCATTAATGTTCACTAGCCAAAGGAAAATCTCACAGTTCAGTCACAGTCGGGTCTCCAGTGTTTCAGGAATTCAAGATGACTGAAAACGTCAGGCTCTGAAGTCCGACTCACTGGGAAAAAAGACGTGTTCAAGTCAAGTCCCCCAGGTGTGAAATTGTTCAAGTCAACAAAGTTCAAGATATACCAGTAACACCAGCCTGAGGTTGAACAGACTCAGGATCAGGTAGAAACGATCACAGTTTAATAGACTCGGTCCTTTCGGGGACACTTTGCGCAGGAGACCGTCGCTGAGACACTGTCAGCAGGAGACAGTCTTGGAGGACACACTAACAGACTGGTTTCAGCAGAGTTATGTAGGACAACCGACATATTCAAGGTCACAGACCACATGAGTTGACAAACCAACTTAAGACAAATGACCGCAGCGAACTCTCGCGAGACACTCGTTGTCCTGCCTCAGTTCTATCACGTCGTATTTCTGTGGTCCAGGTTCCCTTGGTAACGCTCTCCTTTTCTTACTATTTTTTAAAAATATATTCATCTACTTTGCTCATTTTCATTGGCCGTTGTCGCTGTCAATTAGCCAATCAGTCCACACTGACACATGATTTTTGTTTGTCTCTCTACAGATAGAATGTTCAAGTATATCAGAGTATTCCGAGAAGATCATCAAGTCCAATCACCTACACAATGGTAGGTTGAAGGACTTTTCAACTGATACAAATACTTCATTCAAAACTTTGTCTACATGCAGCAAATGTCAGATACGGGACCTGAACCAGAGGCGTCTTTCCATCATTACAGTCACATCAGAGAACATTAGTCACAGATATGATGGAACCCTTGGCAGCTCGTCTCTCATGTCAAACAGCAGGGTCTTCTATCAGTCCGTTTTCCCAGTGTGGGTCTGATTTACAGCCGAGTTTCAAAGACAGACGACTGGCAGCAGATGAATCGGACAGGCTTTTCTTTCATCTCTGACACTGTAAATGAAATACTGTAGGTACGCACGCTAAAAATAAAAATCTCTTTGTTTTACAACCCTAATAAAACTGCTACACTCAGCTTTAGGTCTGTTTTTCACCTGTTAGCATTTGATAGCATCTGTAGTAAAAAAAATAAATATACAGCCATATAAATTAGTAGCGCAGAAAACGATTAATGTTAACAATAAATACAGACAAAGTTGCTAAATTGTACAAATTAGTATCACACATAAACGCTTACATAAACTAGCGGTGGAATGCTACACGTACATAAAAAAGCTGTTAAAAACATAGATGCATCTCCGTGTATCAAAAACCATCACACTGTAGTGTAATGTATCTTAACACATGGTATTATATTGTATTATATTTTATTGTATTATATTTACGTCCACATGAGCCTTATGCTTCTCATATTAGCATACGTACCTAAAGATTAGCAGTATTCAGGCTAGTTTGACGATGTTGAAGCCTGACTAGCTTAAAGTAGGCTAAAATATTGTACCTCAAAAATGAGCTCAGATATACAGAAGCTAAAACTGAAGAAATAATATAGCAATGACAGCCTCCAGTTAGCAACGAAGGTAACTCAACATTAGCTCAGCAACGGGGTGAAGTTAGCCGAAAGTACACACAAATTTGAATATTTTCCTGAAAATTATAAATATTATACTGTTTATCTACATAATTTAGCTAAGATATTTCAAACATATTTTGAAATATATTATTCAATGGGATCAGAATGAAAAACAGGAAACAAACAGGTCAAAACCAGTGCTAACCATGATTTACTGGAGCGATGATTTAATCGTTTGTCACCTGCTGTTTTGTCGCCGCAGTCATTACGATCTTCAAGGGCAAGGTGGAGGAGGTGGAGCTCCCTGTGGAGAAGGTGGACATCATCATCTCAGAGTGGATGGGCTACTGCCTCTTCTACGAGTCCATGCTCAACACCGTCATTTTCGCCCGGGATAAATGGCTGGTAGGAAAAATGAGGCCTTCCACACCTGAACACCCCAGAGTGTGTTCAAGTAGTTGATTTTCCGCACGTGTCTGCTGTTGCTCACATGCTGAGGTCAGACGTAAACGATCTGGTTTCTCAGCTCGGCAGTCGCCTGTGGGCTTTAAACTCAGAGCATGACGGTGGTCTTGTGTTTCACGCCAGGTGTGTGAACAATAACTCTGTAGGGACGGTCTTTGTAGGTTGTCCATGATACGTGAAACTTTTTTTTTTTCCTTTCTCCTCCAGAAACCTGGCGGCCTGATGTTTCCCGACAGAGCCGCCCTTTATGTCGTGGCCATTGAAGACAGGCAGTACAAGGACTTCAAGATCCACTGTGAGTGTTTCCTGGAGACGATGCTGAAGTTAATTTTCCATATTTTCGTCTTTGTCTGGCTCTTATTTTCCTCTTAGCTGTGCATAATTTATCATCGTTATGCTTTCCCACATCCATTAGCGGTGCACTTGGAGTGATTCTGGAGATGATCCCAGTCTGAGATTGAGTCTCAGCCAGAGCACAAGCACTGGTGATCAGATTCATACCTGAGGGGGTTCAAACCCACTGACACCTCTAACCTGCACCCATGTCAAACAGAAATAGAGTGTTATGAAGGCCAGCTAATAGATCTGTTAAACATGACGCATATTTGAATAAAGGCTAATTTTATAAGCTAAAAAGTCGCAAAGCTAAAGCTGCAGTATGCTGTTTGGGTAGTATCTGAGCTCAAGTTCACTCCCAAGTTTTAGTTCAAGTCGATGAAGGAAAGGTTAAGACAAGTTAAGACATAACCAAGTTTGTGAAGTGGCTAAAAAGTACTTGATTTATCTCAGACCTTAAAACTACAGCTCAAGCATTATTTAAAAACTAATTTTCGTGAGATTATGCAAAACAATATAACATCAGTAACGCTGACACAAACACTGTAATTTTTATATAAAATACTTCTTAATGGCTACTTGTACAGGTCAAGTGCAGTACTACAGGCCTGCAGTATCACCTTCAGGTAAAACTAATAAAAACTAGTACTTAGTAAGCTAACTAAGGCCTAATGTTAGCTCAAAAAACGCAGATAAATAAATCGAAGATAAATCCATCCATCCATCCATTTTCATCCGCTTATTCGTAACCGAGTCGCGGGGGCAGCAGTCGCCACCCAAATCACATTGCACCGTACCAAACCTTCCTGCAGGTGGTGAGTCCACTGGAAGGTACCAACCGCCCTAACCGGGATTCGAACTTGCCCAGGAGGTGAACCCTGGAGTTCCACACCAATGACAGAGACGTTGCCTCTGGGCCAAAGCGCCACAAATCGAAGATAAATGACATGCATAAATACAAGTCATACATAAATACACCATCTACTGGGAAAATGTGGGTATCGCAGGGAAAAGGCAGAAGTATATTGATTTTATAAATTAATTATATAATTTGGACAAGTTTGGTGGGCTGGATTAAAAATCTGAACGGGCTGCGTCCAGCCCCCGGGCCTTAGTTTGGTCTACAGTCTTCTTTTAATGACTGTTTGGCTCTGAGGAAACTAGGATGAAGTAAGTGCAGTGTGTGAAGGTGGTTCTTTCTGCTACAGTGCACTTGCCTTTTCTAAACTCTCAGCATGTGTTCACATAACTGTCACAGCTGGATCACTGACCTGTTTCAGATCAAAGAGTCCGCATTAAAGGTGCAGTGAGTTACAAAGAACCCGCGGTCAAAGACTTCCACTGACTTTCTTTGACTGTACTACACATGTGGTCTATTATGGTGCACATTCCAACAGAATTCTGCCAAACCCCAAACTCTCGCCTTCTTTTTTTAGCTTCTACATCTCTATATTTGACGAACTCTGCATTTTCCCTCATTCGACATTCACGTTCAAAAACGCCGACACCCCGACAAAAAAGAGGCACAGGAGGAGGATGGAGAGAGGGGGAGGCAGGGGGAGGAGGAGGGGGGGAGGTTTGGTTGATGTGTTTTCTGCCCAATTTAAAGGAAGTAAAAATCTAAAAACCTTCCTGTCAGACAGGGTGTTAGTAGAGGCGGAGGAGGTGCTGGAGGAGGAGGTGGAGGAGGAGGCCGGAGTCTATTTTAAGGACGCCTTGTCTTGTTCCACACAGCGACTGGATAGACAGAAAGACAGCATGAGTTCCAGACGGTTCTTCCTGGCAGGAGCCGGGCGTTGTTTTTTTTTGTTTTTTTGTTTTTTTTGCTGCCTTTTATTTTGTGGACAGTTTGGCAGGAAGAGAAAGGATAGAGAGAGCTTCACAAAAAAAGAAAAAAAAATCTCTCTAATGAGATGTTAGGGCTGAGAGGAGCGAACACGTTCTGTCCATGTTGTCGTTTGATGCATCTGTGGCTCAGCCAAAGTCTGGAGGTCTTCGTTCTGAATATTCAGATTAATTGAATAAAAGGCTTCAATTAATCAAGGACCAACAGACTGTCAATCTGTTGTTCAGGAACAAAACGTCCTAAAAAATAATTGAAAAGTCTGATAAAAACAAAGTATATTTTGTAAAAATATAAATAATAAAAATTGATTGATTTTTGTGTTAGTAATTATCTTTTTTAAATAAAAAATAAATAAAAATATTCTGGTAAAAATACAAAAAAAATTAAAAATCAGGGTTTTTTTAAATGATAATAATAATAAAATAAGTCAGAAATAATAAGTCTTTATTTGGTCTAAGACTGGATATTTATCATATTTTTTTAACTTTGTATTCAATTTTTCCAGCACTTTGTTATGTTTGCCATTTTTACTACAGTGCACTTGCCTTTTCTAAACTCTCAGCATGTGTTCACATAACTGTCACAGCTGGATCACTGACCTGTTTCAGATCAAAGAGTCCGCATTAAAGGTGCAGTGAGTTACAAAGAACCCGCGGTCAAAGACTTCCACTGACTTTCTTTGACTGTACTACACATGTGGTCTATTATGGTGCACATTCCAACAGAATTCTGCCAAACCCCAAACTCTCGCCTTCTTTTTTTAGCTTCTACATCTCTATATTTGACGAACTCTGCATTTTCCCTCATTCGACATTCACGTTCAAAAACGCCGACACCCCGACAAAAAAGAGGCACAGGAGGAGGATGGAGAGAGGGGGAGGCAGGGGGAGGAGGAGGGGGGGAGGTTTGGTTGATGTGTTTTCTGCCCAATTTAAAGGAAGTAAAAATCTAAAAACCTTCCTGTCAGACAGGGTGTTAGTAGAGGCGGAGGAGGTGCTGGAGGAGGAGGTGGAGGAGGAGGCCGGAGTCTATTTTAAGGACGCCTTGTCTTGTTCCACACAGCGACTGGATAGACAGAAAGACAGCATGAGTTCCAGACGGTTCTTCCTGGCAGGAGCCGGGCGTTGTTTTTTTTTGTTTTTTTGTTTTTTTTGCTGCCTTTTATTTTGTGGACAGTTTGGCAGGAAGAGAAAGGATAGAGAGAGCTTCACAAAAAAAGAAAAAAAAATCTCTCTAATGAGATGTTAGGGCTGAGAGGAGCGAACACGTTCTGTCCATGTTGTCGTTTGATGCATCTGTGGCTCAGCCAAAGTCTGGAGGTCTTCGTTCTGAATATTCAGATTAATTGAATAAAAGGCTTCAATTAATCAAGGACCAACAGACTGTCAATCTGTTGTTCAGGAACAAAACGTCCTAAAAAATAATTGAAAAGTCTGATAAAAACAAAGTATATTTTGTAAAAATATAAATAATAAAAATTGATTGATTTTTGTGTTAGTAATTATCTTTTTTAAATAAAAAATAAATAAAAATATTCTGGTAAAAATACAAAAAAAATTAAAAATCAGGGTTTTTTTAAATGATAATAATAATAAAATAAGTCAGAAATAATAAGTCTTTATTTGGTCTAAGACTGGATATTTATCATATTTTTTTAACTTTGTATTCAATTTTTCCAGCACTTTGTTATGTTTGCCATTTTTATAAAAAGCCTAATATAATATAATATAATATAAAATTAAATAAAAAATTAAAATTAATAAAATATAAGCTAACACCTCAACTCTTGACAATAATATAATGATAAAACCTTTGGACTCACCCTTGTGGCTGTGTCTCGTACGTGCAGGGTGGGAAAACGTGTACGGCTTCGACATGAGCTGCATCCGCAACGTGGCCATCAAGGAACCTCTGGTGGACGTGGTGGATCCCAAACAGGTGGTGACCAACACCTGCCTCCTGAAGGTGTGTTCGTGTCATCGGGGTTTGACCCCCGGATGACCTCTGTTATTGTGTTTTGTATTCACCTGCGTGTGTCTGAAACACAGGCTTTTATCTCACTGATGAACAGGAGATAAAAGCAGAGGGGCGGGGCGGAGTGAGGGGAGGGCTGCTCTTTTTTGTTGCTCCGTTTGATTTTCTTTGATGATCTCATTATAATATGCTTCATTCCTAACCTCTGTGCTGCGACCCACAACTGGTATTAGACCACATCCCACCACCGTGTCCAACACGTGGGTCACTGACTTCAACAAGCTCACTCTCTGACAAACCAAGAATGGGCCAAATTGGAACGTGAGCCACTTCCTGTTTACCTTGACTATATTCCAGTGCCACTTCATACAGCAGGTCATAGGGTCAACTTCCTAGATGGATCTAATTGATTCTTCATTCAAACTGTCAATCATTACTGCCAGGCCAACGATGCTCCGTCTCACCACTGGCCCGTGTTCCCGTCTCTGAACGTCATTTCCTGTATGACTCTGACCTGAGGTGTGAAATCACAGTTTGTCACCATGACAGAGCTGCTCACAGCCGGATAACTCCACAGCTCCACCTACAGTCATTATGACATCATCAGCCTACATCACAGAGTCTGTGAAGACTGAACGGGCAACCTGTGATGGGGCTGTGGGTATTTATAATTCAGAGCTGGATGTGGAGTCAGGGAATCACAGAAGCTGTTTTTAACTCACACACACACACACACAAGGGAAGACACCCACACAGCATGTGTAGTGTGAGGAGGCTTCTTTCTCTAGTACATGATTCAACCTGTGAGCCCACGCACGCACACACACACGCACACACACACGGTGATGCTCTCATGTTGATGCAAAGCCTCCTAAAAGTGGTTTCCTTTTACATTTGTCGGTCGGTTTCTGTGTCGACCCATTCAGAACGACGTTGTCCAAATGAACCAGTGCACAGGTGTGTCCGTGATCATGTCCTAGATTTTCAAGTCCTGGTCTTAAGTCTGGTCCAGATTCTAGAAGTCTTAGACCAAATAAAATGATAATATTTTCAAGTTCAACTTCAAGAGGTCTGGTCCAGATTCTAGAAGTCTTAGAATAAAATGATAATATTTTCAAGTTCAGCTTCAAGAATTTCCCAATCATTTTTGGGTCCAAATCTGATTAAATTCAAGTCCAGAAACGTTTTTTTCGAAGTCCACGTCTTTAGTGTTCGAGTCCTGTGTCATAGAATCAAGCACAACTTCTCCGACTGCCTAGTCCAGGCATTGGCAAACTAAGGCCCAGGGGCCAGATGTGGCCCGTTCAGCTTTTTAATCCGGCCCACTAAACTTTTTCAAATCATCTAATTTGTTAATACTTCTGCCTTTTCCCTGTAATACCCACGTTTTCCCAACAGATGGCGTAGAAAATGATTAAAGCATTTTAGCCTTTAAGCATGACTTTTACATGTCATTTATCTCTGTGTTTTTTTTCCTCACAGGAAGTGGACATCTACACGGTAAAGCCGGAGGACCTGTCTTTCACGTCAGCCTTCTGTCTGCAGATTCAACGCAACGATTACGTCCACGCCTTGGTCACGTACTTCAACATCGAGTTCACCAAGTGCCACAAGAAGACCGGATTTTCAACCGGTGAGAAAACGGCACAACTTTGACACGTTTGACTGTTACCACAGTAATGAAAAAAATAAGTGTTATATAAGGAAGATTTTTAATGGCAGAGCACAGAACACACTCCACTGTATAAATGTAAAAGCCTGAGAAACAGTCAGACATTTCAATGAAAGCCTTTTAGTTGGATTTTCAAAATAAAAGTACCTTGTGAATAATGTTTTCCTCCAATCATCTACTAGGTTTTTTTTTTTTTTGACTATTCAACTAGAGCCTCTTAGCTCTTGGCTACACCCTGCTGGTGTTACACAAGACGGCCCGGTGTAAAATAGAAATCGAGGGGATTTTTTTGGTAACCTGGCACGAAGGCTGGTTTAAAGACAGTCATAGAGAGAGTGGCTGCTGTGGGCCGTTATGTAACTTCATGTTATTCCACTCATGCTTGCATAATCCAGTGTAGAGGTGGTTCTATGTTTGGCTGAGTCTGTTGGGCCTGAGGCTGAGCATCGCTGACGGAGAACTCTCCTCCACGGATTTTCTCCCACTGCTTCAGTAAACTTTAGCTGCTTGGCTGTTTTTTTTTTAAATGTATCCAAAACTGGCCTGTCCAGGTTTAAAGTTTTTTAAACTCTTACGCCCCCCTTAATGCTGCTGCTGTTACTGCACCCTGACTTTCTTCCTCTCTTGTCCTCTCCTCTTCCTCCTCAGCTCCAGATGGTCCCAGTACTCACTGGAAGCAGACGGTGTTCTACCTGGAGGACTACTTAACGGTCAAGAAAGGAGAGGAGATCTACGGCAGTGTCACCGTCAGGCCCAACGAGAAGAACGTGGTGAGACCGACGATCGAGTCACAGCCTCAACCCTAGTGCGACTCAGAGGGAGGGTTAAAGACTTCTGATAGAGGACAGTCAGACTGTTAGAAACAAATGGATTATTAAATATACACGTTTGCCAAGTTACGAGTAAACAACTTTTTCAAGATTTTCCTCGTGATCGAGTGAAACATCAAGTTAGATGTGTTTAACCGAGCTTCATTTTTCCGCTGTCACGCTCACTATCCCTTAATTGGGTATTTTACCTGTTGCTTTATATAAAATGTTTTCATAATTATTATTATTTTATATCATATAATATATTGGTTCATATCTGACTATATCGTTTCTGATGTTTAGATGGCAGATTTTAATTTAATTAAGCAATTGTTTGAATAGGGACGCGTTGGACCACCGACGTTCCACTGTATCTCGAAGCTACTGTTGCAGATTCTCTAACTTCCCAGTGACGGCCTGTATAACACCTTAATAGTTAGCGTATCTTATAGAGTTTTAACTCATCAGGGTAATTTTACGCAAATGGAACTCCTGGCCTAAACGCTCTCCTTCCTTGTTTTTAGCGCGACCTGGAGTTCACCCTGGAGCTGGACTTTAAGGGACAACTGTGTGAGGCTCAGATTTCTCACGACTACAAAATGCGTTAGGAACCGTGTCCCTGCTGTGCTCTGGTGAGAACTTTCCTTCAGCCTCTCCAGTCTGATGACCCTTCTGGAGACGGGGGAAGACACCAGCTCTCCATCCAGTGTCCCTGTTGGCTAGTGAGGGTAAACCGCCGCATCTGATTGGATGCCTTAAACCAGCAGCACTCAGCGATGTCATCGGAGGAGGCCGGTCTCTGTCAGCAATAGTGCCATCATTTGTACCAACTTATTTCGACTAGGCACAATAATGACTGTCACCTCCAACACACATTTGTTGTCTGACTGATTTTTGATTTGTTGAGTGTCAAATTTATATCTCTGGAGTCTTAATAACGTGAGTGCAGCCAATTAAAAATAAACAACCGGTGTGATGTGGAGTAGATGTGTTGGTGACTTAAAAGTCCGGAATTGTTTGTGAATCAACTAGACCTCAATCTTTCTTCAGTGACTCGGACTCGGAGACATGACTTGAACTCACCTTCCATTACTCTGACTCTAAATTAGACTTAACTCAAAGTGTTGGGGAGTTCATTAAAACTATCCCTCTGTGACTTGGACTTGGACTTGAAAATCAGGGAACCAAAACTTAACTCTTAGCACAAACGCTAACCTTTCAATTGTTTTTCCTGTGATTTGGACATCTTGAAATCGTGTGGTTTTAACATGCGCTCTACTAAATTCTTTCTTTGACAACTAGGACGCAATAGAACATTAGGATATCTTAGGTGACTCGGACTTGGAAAGGACGTGTTTTTAAAGGTACGACGTCTTAAAGAAGAAATGTACGATTGAGTGATTTAATCGATTTCATTGAGTTTCCATTTTGTATTTCTTTGCATGTGATCGTTTCATTTAGAAAATGTTCTTCCTTTATTTGTTCCTTAAGTTTTGGACGATGTAGAGTAAACTGTACTGTAAGAAAAACAAAACGCCGTCTGGGGAAAGTAACAAACGCAGACGCAAAAAGAGACGAACAAAGAATGTTGTTGATGAATAAAATGTGAAGGAATCACGTGTCATATGTTTTTTTATTAAAGTAAATATTGATTTAAAACTATTTCAGTTAGGATATTTTTTTCTGGATTAGTTGAAGTGAGAATATATTATAAAAAAATGACAAAATTAAACCTCTCTACTGTTTCGCCTATTTTTTAGAATTTTTCTCAATTAGATATTGAAATATTAATACCATAAAAAAAATAGATATTGAAATATTAATACCATAAAATTGTTTTTTTTCTCATATTTGACAAAACTACAGTGATTTGGCAAAAACTACAGTAAACTCATTGTTATTCTGTTTTTAGGGGCAGTTTTTTTTACACCCTCCCAAACCGTGTAGGCGTCACCTGTGTCCAAACACCGACTTCAACAACGCCTTCAGTGAAAAGTCCAAAAGTCACCAGTAGGAGGCGTTGTCTTTAGCGTTAGCTCCTCGCTGTTAGATGATGCATCTTTACTTGCAGCAGGTTTTCTTCTTCACAGGCTGAGCACTGAGGATGACGGTGGTGTCTCTCACTCTGTCCTCCTGTTCCATTAACACCCTGTGGAAAAACAAACAGTGGATTAGACCTGAGGAAACCACAGGAAAGAGCTAAGCTACGACTTACTGGCACGTCAACAGAAAACGTCTTTTATTGTGTTTGATAAAGATTTTTGACAAAGGTTTAGGTAGTTGTAGATCATCATTTACTTGTTTGTTACATTTTTTAATACTTTTTTGGTTGTTTTTCATTAAATATGTTTTTTTTTGTATTAGCCAAAATTAAAATGATTTGATTTATTAGCTAAAATGTAAATGATTAAATTTATTCAATTTATTAGCTAAAATGTAAGTTATTTAATTAATTTAATTTATTAGCTAAATATTAGCTAAAATGTAAGTTATTTAATTCATTTAATTTACTATCTAAATTATTTAAATGATTTTAATTTATTAACTATTCTATCTAAACAAAAACAAAAAGCAGTCAGTCCACAACTTTGACCTACCTGGCCAGGTGTGTCAGGGACTCGCTCACGTTCGTGCCTGTGTAGGCGCTGACCTCGAAGAACATCACTTTGTTTTCCTACAGATCATAAGAAATTAGAGACAGTTGCCAACAAAGGTGTGCAGTGACGACCAGGCTGCACCAAAATAAAGCATACTTTTTGTACTCACATACGCCAACTGTTCAGCTTCCTTAAACGACACCTGTCTGTCTCCCTCCATGTCCATCTTATTACCCAGAAGCAGGACGGGGATGCCTTCTTCTGCAGCCTCCTAAACATTACTTCTGTTATTTTGACATTCCTAACATTTTAATTTCTTCACTTTGACTCAACACATTCCTGAGCTGCAGAGGAATACAGTGATGTCACAGGACAGACCTGGACATGGACCAACCAGGGTCTCACAGCCCTGTAGCTCTCCTCCACTGTGACGTCATACATCAACACCACACCGTCTGCTCTGCGAAAGAACTGCTTGGTTATGCTGCGGAACCTGTGACGGAGACACGATACTGGTTTTAGCGCAATGAATACATCCTGTTACATATATTTAGAAAGCCTAACATAATGTGGCTCCCTGGAGGAGTATTAACACACCACCTAGCCTTATAAACCCACACACACATGTTTGCGAGTTATTCTCCAATGGTTATGTTCTTACACCAAAATTATTGATGTGTTTTTCTTCGGTTGAAGACTTAATCGGCGGTGGAGGAATGTCGCGGCTTTTATTTTGAAACGACAGTGTCATCTTAGTACCGAGTTCCGTTTCCGCCCTACTTAGGTTTTACATTAAAAAAAACTAAAACATAATTTTCGTGACTTCGTGTATGTTTTCCCGGTCTACTGTACAGATTTTTTTTAAACATTTTTTAGAACATAAAAATATTTAGCGTCTGTCTTTCCCGGTCTACTGTACAGATTTTTTTAAAAACATTTTTTAGAACATGTTCGAAAATATTTAGCGTCTGTTCTAAAGTTCTCTGGCGTCCGCCAGGGGAGCTCCATGGTATACTCTCAACTACTACGTATACGGTAAATACTACGACAGTATAATACGTCACACCACACATATTTGTGAACCCACCTCTCTTGACCTGCTGTGTCCCACAGCTGCATCGCTACCTTCATGTTGTCCAGGGTTAATGTCTTCACGCTGTAGTCCACACCTGTGGACATGAAGTATTAGTACTAGCATAATGCAGTAACACTATGTTAGATATTAAATGCAAGTCCAGGAAAGTTAATGTCCTTTACGGAAATACAAAAAATATATATAATCTTTAATTTTGTAATAGATTGGAACATTTAAATACTAAACAGAACGATAAAAATGTTTTTAAAGCAAACAAATGTTAAATTTAAGTCTCCTAAACATTTAAATTTATTCTTGAAATTAAAAAAAAAACTGTGAAAACGATACTTGTAGTAACTTTTCAGTCCCGCTTCGCCTCCGTCCTAACTTTTTGGAGTCTGTTGCAGGAGATTATTTCTGCTTTTGTTTTTACTGATTTTGTCAGGAGAAAAGATTTGTAGAGATTTATGAACTTGAAAGTAAAGCCGGGACCAAACAAATCTGCTCTAGAAACATAATCTGCACAAAGCACGGTGTGTGTCTTGGTGTTAGAGCGGCAGTGTGACTTCATGAGCCTTTTCAGGTGACGCTCCGTGTCTCCTTCCTCCGGTTTTAGCATCCGCAGACACACACATGTGTAAGCTAGTTAGCTAAACCGTGCTGTACACACAACGTCTCGATTCTCACCCACAGTAGCAGTGGTGGACGTGTGGAAGCGGCCTTCACAGAAGGAGCGGAGCAGCGACGTCTTCCCCACACTGGAGTTTCCAACCAGGACCACTTTGAACAAACGATCTGGGATAAAAACTCCCAACTCTTTGGCCTTCATGAAGTAAAAAAAAAACATTTAACAAAGTAAAGCTGATAAACTTTAAGATCGGTCTTAAACAAACTCGGGACATACTTGTTGCGTCTCCTTCCCAACAGGCTGTCCTCTTGGAGACAAAGGCGTCTTCTTTATTTGTGGGAGATACGACTTCTTTGCAGGTTCGTTCGACACCTGAAGGTGACCAGAGGTTGGTGTTGATGAAACCTCCGAGGGAAGAGCGACACTTGATTCAACGTCGGTCTGTGGTGAAGCTTCTTCGGCCTCCTCCTCCTCCCCCTCCTCTTCTTCCTCATCCTCCTCGCTCAGCTGGTGCAGTAAGGGTTGCGATCCACCTTGGAGCAAGTGCGGGAGGTGATCCTCCTCAATGGAGATGACCCGGCGGAGGGGCCACCCTTCCGGGGGAGCGTCTAGCACCTCCTCCTCTACTCCCATCTTCTTCTCCACCTCCATTTTCTTCCCACTCTCTCTGTCCTTTCTCAGCATCCTCCTGGGGACGGCGATCCTGCTGACGGATTTTCTGGCTTTGGCCTTCACGTCCTGCACTTTGGAGAGAGCAGCGCTGGTGTAACCGTTGGCTAAGGTCGAGTTCTTTTTTGCTGCAGAGCGTTGCTGACCTACAGGGGCACCAGCGGTGGTGGAGGAGGTTGTAGAGGAGGTAGTGACGGTGGTGGTGCTGCTGCTGGTTTTGGAATCGTCCTCACTAGAGGAGGAGGAAGCAACAAACACGATTTGTAGATGTTCTATAGGCAGGGCCTCCAGAGACTGGTAGGACCCATCCACCAACAGTGGGGATCTTTGGAGACAGAGGGAAAACAGAGGATACAACGGCTTCAAAGTTCAGATTTTTAGTCTCATCTGTGCATGAAAATTCATTTTAGGTGCTGTGAAAAAAAAAAATCAGGTATCCTCTGTTTCTCCTCCTCTGATTGGCTCTACAGTCCGGTCCCAACTCCCTACTGTTAGAGTCTGAACCAGCACACCCAAGAAAAATTGAGTGATAAAAAAGCCCCAATTTTTCTAACCTGACTGAGGGGTCAGGTCAGAAAAAAGTTAAAATGACATGTTAAACTCATGCATAAAGGCTAAAATGCTTTTATCATTTTATACGCCATCTATTGGGAAAACATGGATATTGCAGGGATAAGGCAGAAGTGTAATCATAAAATAAATAAATTATATAATTGGGAAAAGTTTTGGGGCCGGATTAAAAAGCTGAACGGGCCACATCCGGCCCCCGGGCCTTATTTTGCCCATGCCTAGTCTAAGTCATTCAAGGTACAATCTAGATTTTCACGCTAACCTCCAAGTGGTTTCTATATATTTGTTAAACTACACCCCTGAACAGACAGATGTCCGCATCGTGATGAAATCACCTTTTCGGCTGCTGAGCAGGTTCATCAAACAGGTTGGCCAGTCCTGCTCTCTGCTTCTGCTTCTTTCTCAGTGAAGATCGAGGCTTTTTCATACAAAAATATAAAAAATATTTAACATTAAGTTTTCATACAGTCAGAAAGCAGTTCTATTTGCACATGATTGTGTCTAAAACTCCATGAACTTACTACACCACGGGACAAGTCACGCTCGTCCTTCAGATGTTTGTTCATTTCTCTAAAAGAGGGAAAAAAGACAGTCTGTCACTGCTGGTTTGTTTTCTTATTTACAGTAAACGTCAAAGGTCGAAATGAATTTTCCATCACATTAAATTATTTATCTATCAAAGATAAAACACACAAGAATTAATGTCCATACGAGATGAGGCTGAAAACACAAAGTCGAGGAGATGACTTTTAAAGTCGCCCACCCTCACACACACAAGCAAACACACCAAAATAATATTAAAAAACAATAAAAAATATTTTAATTAAATTATGTACCTGTTAAAGGAACAGTACAATATCATGTTAAACAGAGTATATAACTAATTTATTGTTGCAATCGTAATTGTTGTTTTTTCTGAGGGGTAAGAGTATTGCCATCTCCAGCAGATGGCGCCCCAGACGACTGCCCATGTGGCCTTCACCCAGGACGTCATCGTACCTTAGCAGGTCAAGCTGCTTCATGAGACTTTGCTTCTCTCTCTGCAGACCTTCAGTGACTCTGTACATTTCCCTGCAACAGGACACAGACGAGAGTTAGTTATGTCTCTATCATCCATACCTTAAAACGAGGCCTAAGGTCTGGGGCGGGGGTGTCAACGACACCAAATAGCATAAAGTAGCTAAAACTTATCTAGAAATTAAGCTTATAAGCTAAAGTAGGCTAAAATGATAGCTAAAAGTTAGCCCAAGAAAGATGTGTGTGTGTGTGTGTGATACCCACATCTCTGTGTGTGTGTGTGTGTGTGTGTAATACCCACATCTCCTTCTCCTGCTGCAGTCTGGCCGCCTGCTCCTGCAGCATGCTCAGCTGATCCTGAGCCAGAGCCAGCTCCTGACTGGTGCTCTCCAGAGCGCGGCACAGCTCCTCGTTGGTCATCTTCAGCTTGACGTTCTCCACGTGGCTCTCCTGCTTCTCGCTGTTCAGCTCTCGGCACTGCAGCTCCAACTGAAAAAGTTTCAACAGAGTGAAAATGCATCAGAGGGAAATTTTAATCCCCCTCCTAAATCACACATGTGAAAGAGAATTACAGCGCGGTCACATGACATATGTGGACTTCTAAACCTAGAACTTTTGGTTTCTAGTCATATTTTGCGGCACGTTGTGATCGTTCTCTCACTCTTCTCTGCTTCTGGAAAAGGTGCTCCAGCTCTTTCTCCTTTGAAATCAGCTGATGTTCCAGGTCGTGGCTGTGCAGCTGGAGACGCTCAGCATCCTGAGAGAAAGAACGTACTGAAGGAAAAGGAGCTAAAACATAATAAAAGTCTGAGCTGAAGCCTTTTTTCCTACCTTGACCAGAAGCCTGTCCTTCTCAGTTTTGATCTGAGCCTCCATCTCCTCGTACAGGTGACGGATCTCACTGTCATGTGTTGCCGTTTTCCTGCAAAGAAGGACAAGGGTTGCATCTCTGATCTTTGTTTTTCATCTTTTTATTCATAAAACAGCACAACTATTTAGGAGACAGACACCCGGCCTGCAAAACAAAAACTAAAATTTGGAATAAATTATAGTTGGAGGTTGTGAAAATGTTGCTACACATGCAAACTACACATTATGTTTTCCATTAACTCAGTATTAAAATGGGTTTTTAATGGAGCAGCAGCAGCAGGAGGAGGCCAGACTTCAGATTAGTGGTCATTTGACAAGGATAAAGAAAATTCCAGATAGATCTATGGTATTTACACTGCAACTGCAGGCCTGACATGGTGCAGAAATATCAACGCACACACGCGCACACACAATCCCAGCATTATGTCGCTAATGAGGCGACTAACGACAGGCGAGAACATAAAGGAAACTACTTAAATATGTAGGAACTGACTGAGGAGAACTGCCTCCTGAAACTGTTAACAGTTATCCTGCTCACAACTATTTTCCCCTTACCTCTGGAGGGCGCTCTCCATCTCCTTCTTCTCCTGGTGGGCTTCTTTGATCTGGTGGGTGACCCTGGCCAGGAACTCTTCAAAGTTGAACAGCAGGTCGGGCTCATCCCGTCTGAGCTGGGCCCAGAGACTGCGCACCTCGCCTGGACTGCAGCCACAGCCACAGGCACATAAAGTACCATGAACCACAGTAACACTGTACAATGATAGAGATAGATTTTTTTATTTACGTCATCACTCACTCCTCAAAAACGTTACTGGCGTCCAGACTTTCCAGCAGCATACAGAAGTGCTTCTCTTCATCGTCTTCTGCTGTGGACAGTTTGGCCTCCCACTGACTCTGGTACAGAACCTCCTTTGCCCTGAGCGTAGGACTGTTGGTCTGACTGTGGTCACCTGCCACGGTGATCCTTCGACCATGGAGAAACTGACCTGAGGCAGGCCTTCGACCATGGAGAAACTGACCTGAGGTCGGGCAATATAGGGAAGATACGTCTTACAATACAGGAGCAAAATATATTCCAGAACATGTCGAAAAACACAGGGGTTTATTTGTTCAACTTATTTTATCTTTATTTATAAAAGTATTGTCATTGAAACACAAAGTGAATTAGATTATTTATGTAGGAAACCTGACTAACTTGCTATATACTGTATCATAATCCTTTATCACCCTAACCTGCTGCAAATCCTAGTTAGCTATCAACTTACTGTCTACTTATCACCCTAACCTGCTGCAAATCCTACTTAGCTATCAACTTAGCCTACTACACTTTCACATACGAGTTCTGAGTAAATACAAAATAACTTCACCACCACATAATTAGATATACCACCAACAAAAATTTAAATTTAAATATTTAAAGGATTAAACCTGATTTTTTTTTCAATCAGTGTTGGCGAAACAAATACGATTTTTTTTCTTATTCTTATGTCTTTGAATTTTTAAGGCTAATTTCAGACATTTCAGTGAAAATAAAGACCTTTAATATACAGTAGATCAGGAAATTCAATGCATTTTCAGACTTTTTAAGGATCTGCAGGAACCTTTGTGCGATCTGATGGTGAGTGACCTACTGAATCCAGAGGAGAAGGCCTCCAGGGTGAGGTAACCTTTGTGCTCCGTGTCCAGGGAGTCAAAGACGTCCTCCAGCTCCTCTGCAGACAGAGGGAGTTCTCTGTGGAGCCTCTGGGGAAAAATCAAATTTTTATATTTAAAAATGCCTAAAAAACTAATTCTAGCTTCATCATAGCAAAAATGTGAAACAACTAATACAGCAGATCCATGTTGCTGTTCGTCAGATGAGCCTGAGAGATTTCCTGAATGCCGTGTTTATAACATAAGAGCAAACTGTGCTCTGGAAAGCTTCATATTCACTGTTCACGCCTGTGTGGCAGAGTGTGTGTTTGCTGCTCATTAACATTTCCATCAGTGCTGCTGCTCTGACACTTCACCCACTGTTTGAATGGAGCGAACGGTTGAAGAGTTCCTGAAATAACGGCCAAATCGGGAGGAAATGGAAACGTACAAATGAAGTGTTTACACTGTTCTCTGTCATATGCAAATGACGCAAAAGGTTTTAGCAATGACCTATTGACCTGCTGTTCAGTGGAGGCTTTAATGCATGGAGAATCTGTGCATTTAAAACACATGATTAAAGAAGACAATGACTGAATGACTGAGTCATACAGTATGCGGTAAATAATTTTGTTTGAAGTTTAAATTAAACTAGCTGGGGTTTGTTTTTTGTTACAGTATTCACAGTTCATGCTGGATTAAAATTCTCTTAAGAAAAAAAAGTCTCTTTAAATTTGGAGCTCCTTATACATGAAAACATTTTGTCTTTTATTGTGTTGGCTGCTCCCTTCATGGATCACAACAGCAGAAAAATTGTTCATCTGATTTAGGACAATATTTCCATCATCATGCTTTTGTCACCCTAACCTGCTTCACATCTTTATCCTAAATCACATTAACCTGCCGGATATCTCAATCTTTTACTATCTTTACCTACAAGACTGATAATCCTTTATCACCCTAACCTGCCGCACAATGTATTCCTTTATCCCCCTAACCTGCTGGACATTTTATTCCTTTAACAGCCTAACCTCCTGGAAATTGTAATACATGTTGAATACTTTTCACATTTTTTTCTAAAGCACACACTCTGTTTCTCACCCTCATATCAGTGCGAGTGATGAAGCCTTTCCCCTCCACGTCACAGGTCTGGAAGAACTCTTTGGTCTTGCTCAGCAGAGTGATGGGACCCCAGTCTGAGCCCCTCCTTCCTGGCTGGAGTCTGGTGCCGTTCACCTCCATCACAAAGGTTCTTTTTTTTATAAAGAACACTTAATTCCAACACATGCTTAGGGGGCCTCACCACAGGCAATGCATCCTGTGAACTGCAGGTGTCACCAACACCGAGATCTGGGTTTTAGGCTTCTGTCAGACAGAAAGAGTAAAAATACTTTGGTCCAGGTTCGAAGGTGTGACCACTACAAAGAGATCAAAGGAAAGTGGTTCGGTTCCAGAGCAGTAATACCACAGTACTAAGTAGTACTTCTCTTTTGTAATTCCCCTGAAACAGGCAAACTCAAAAAGGAATGTAAACAGTGTAAAGGATTATCATAATACCAGGCGATACAGAACACATGACAGTTCTAATACCTGTGAGACCGAGTCCAAAACAAGAATTTAGAACTAACCCTGAAACCATTTAAAATTGTACATAGTTAACAATTTATTAGTAAAACCCTGAAACCATTTAAAATTGTACATTTGTACATACGTTAACAAATTATTAGTTTATTTTTTATTAAGTGTTTTTTCTGTTATCTTTCAGTCTGGATGCAGGCTGTTCTGTTCACTTCTCTTAAAATGTAAAAAGGAGAAGCAGATTTCTTATTCAAATTCAGCAAATTTTTGAATAAAAAACAAACAACTGATTGAAGCTGACTTTTCTCTTGACATCAGTTGAAAAACATGGATTTTGCAAGCACAAAATTACAAGTCAAAGAAAGAATAAGAAGCTATCGTTTTTCATCTTAACCCAATCTGCTAACAAACTACAAAACTTGTTGCTTTTCAAAGTAGATTTTAGCAGAAGAAAAAGTTCTTACCCAGTGTGAAGGAACAAGCACAACAGAAATGAAGCCTTAGTTCCTACCTCGACATCACACACTCTGTAAGACATTAGAAATTCTCACAGATGAATGTTGGACCAAGTCACGCTCTGCACCAATGTGACGTCATCAGGAAGGGTTTTTTTCAGCCGTGGTCGTCACAATGCTGTTAAACTAAGACGGGGAAGGAGGAAGTGCTAGAGTGAAGTCTCCCTCTGAAGGACGTACAACAGTCACTGTACACACTCCAACTACGTGTTAAAAAAAGATTAAAATAAATTCTATAAAATTAAAATACAGCATTCAGTTTATTAGAATGTTATTTTTTTCCAAAATTCAAAGGAATTCAAAATGTTATAAATATTAAATGTGTGGTTTCACTTTTCATTAAGCTGTCAGATATTTAACAAAATAAAAACAAATATTTGTTTTAAGTCGTTGGCAACATTTCAACAAATGAACATTTAAGGGAAAATCAAACATTTAATAAAGAAAATTGCACACATATGATGAGATATTTGTAGCCACTAGATGTCAGACTTTGGACAAAGGTGATACATCAAAGGTTTAATATTCTCTTTATCTTGAACCAAACATTGATGTGTTTCTAACCATTCATCAAGAAAAAAGCGCGATATCTGTGGGGATGAGACAGTTTTGTTCTGCATGTGTTGTTTTCCATAAAAACCTCACGGTCACGACCTTTTAGGGAAAAGCACAGATACAAAACAGAGTAAATTCAGTCTTGATGTTTGACTCCTCATGAACGGCTCCAGTTTGACTGATTGATTGCTTCCACAGGTCTCAGAGTTCACTTTAGCTCTGTTTGTGTACAGTTGTTACTCATTTCCTTGGATCTTCTTCAGTAAATACTCCATCTGAAGGTTGAGGTTGGGTTGTCCTTTCTTGGTCTTTTTGCTCAGAATCTGAAACGTCTCCATCTTTTTCTGTTTGTACCTCTGAATGGCCTCTTCTTTCTGCTGCTTGTTCTTTAAATACTCCTGCAGAGAACGAAGAAAACATGTCAGTTTATTAGTCTAACTTGACTTAATGTCAGACTTAAAATATTTTTTTAAAGAACAAACCTCTTTCTTTTTCTTCTGTTTCTCTATGACATTCTCATATTCTTCTCTCGTCTTCTGGTAGGACGACTTTCTCTGCATCTTTTTCTTCATGCGGTTGCTCAATGGTAGACTATCAGAAAAGATGAGTTACATCATCAAACATATATGAAAATCAGATCTGAAGACATCTTGTGTGAATTCTTATTTTATTGTTTTTTTTTTACCTTTCTTTGTCTGGTGATGCAGTTTGGTCGGAGTCCTTTACATCTGTAGTGCTAGGCTCAGATCCACCAATAACTGTCGTATCAGTACCAGCAGCTTCACTGTGTTCTGCAGCAGCAGCTGCTTCACTTTCAGACCGTTCTTGTACCTGCTCCTGATCTCTCACTCTCAGTTTACTCCTGTTCAACCTATTTGACCAGGCCTCTTGTTTCAGTTTCTCAGCCTCAGCCAAGTACAGATGTCTGAGGTGTTCTGGGTACTCGTCCTTGTACTGTATTTTGGAATCGGTGTTAATTCTCCTCTTCTCTTTCCGCAGAAGTCTGTTGTACTCATGCCTGGCTTTCTCCTTCCTCTTGAAAGCAAAGCCTTGACCTGTAGACAATAATTTTTCATCAATATTGTGTATAGTACTGCTTTGAAAACAAGCGACACTTAACTAACTCAACACAACAAAACAACATGTAGACTTATAGTAGAATATTTAGTTTTAACTGACACACTGCAGTCTGATGTACATCTCATTTAATCAAAAAGAATACTTACCTTCACAGATGCCACCTTCGAACGTTTTGTTCTCGGGGAGCCATTTCCTCTTCTTTTTAAAATCCTGTTTGAAATGTTTATGATTCGTCTTGTTTCCCTTTTTTGCTGGAAATGTCTTGCTTGTCATTTTCCCTGTCGGTGCCATTTCAGCTAAGACTTTAGACAACGTGAGATGTTTACAGCAGACGCGGAGATATGACGTAAAAGAACCAGACCTCAAAAGTCAAATGCGGAGAATCTAATCTCGAATCGAATTTTCAGTATCCTGACAGTCAAATAGCAGACTGGAAAAAATATTCATAAATAATATTTTTATATTAAATGTATTAATTATAAACAGAAGCATAGCCAAAGTAAGGCAGATTTTCAAGTACCGTTTTGTGGACAGAAAAATATCCCAGAATTCCTGGTATTGTAATCATCTATATTAACGTAACTTGAAAAAGGAAATTGGTGAAGGTTTGAACGCTTTTACAAAAATATTTTAAATTTCAAAATAAAATACATATCTCTCACAGTCAACTTCCTTAAGCTATGATTAACTTTGTCTTAGCGAAGCAGTTAGTAAAACAATCGACCAACCCTTCTCGATTAGAAATGTCTATGCTTACGTCAGCAGCGTAAGATTGCTACCATAACACCGTGAGGTCTGTTTTAAATCTATTTTTATCATGTCTCCTAGCTCTTACAGCCTCGCAGAAATACAACACAAGATAGATAAAGTCAAACAGTTTCTTTCGATAGCTCTGAGAATCGCGAACGCGCACACTGTGGAGTTTTACACGCATAACGTGTGGAAACAGTTCGTGGCTTTGCCGCCGGAGGATGTTCTGTCGGCCGTGCTTCGCGGCAGTGAGCAGCAGGGGGCGCCAGAGTTTAAAAGAAAAGGTAAATGTAATATGCTGTTATAGACTTCATATAAATAATACTAATTATTAATATTTTTAACGTAATTCGATTGTTGTTTTCATAGATAATATTTACATTTGAACGCTTTTTTCATATTACCCGGTCGTCAGCAACATTACTGTTAAAAATAAATTAAAGATGTTATTATAATGGTATTAATTTTCTGACAGGTCACAAAACGGTTTCTCAGAAATCAAACAAAACAATCTAGGTTTTTCCATAAGAAACAATAGGTTAAACAAAATACATCAAATTGTGGGCATAACCCAAAATATGTTAAAGTTGGCAAATATTAGCTTTGGATTCAATACTATTAAAATGTACAATGATACCAAAGGGTATTGCAAAGCTTTATTTACATTTGAACGCTTTTTTCATATCAGCACGTCAGCAACATTACTGTTAAAGATAGAAGTGGCAAATACATTTTAGAAAAAGTAATTTGCAAGAAATTGCAAAATGATAATTAAAAGTTTGCTGTAAAATGAAGAGCATGTGTGGTATTACATGTCGATTGTTAAATGCCTAATGTTAGAAATAAATGATTTTTTAAGCCATAGGCCACAATCCTTTCGGTGAGAAAAATATCTTTTGATTTGGTGGTAAACAGATTTAATAGTCATTTCTGCTTTTGATTAAACATGGTGCAACTTAACTGTGATGGTTCCTTTGGTTCCAAACAGATGATTCCAGAAGCATTTTTGGATTTTGCCCTGACACACAGCGCCTGGTCGATGCCCATGAACTTCTGCGGGCAGCAACGGCTCACTCACTCCCAGGGCTTGGCGTCTGTTGGAGCAGAGATGAGCTGCTGCAGACCCTCAGGGAGGAGAAGCTCGAGTCTGGAGCTGCAGGAGCAGAGATGGGTGAGAAAGAGTCACAGAATAGAATGTGAACCTGAATGTTTCTTTACTGAAATTAGGAAACCAGATTTGGTTTGTCTCCCTGAAAATATGACCGCAGGACTGGTGTGGGACTTAGTTAAAGAAGAACAGAACCTGTAAATATGTTCCACTCTTTAAATGCTCCGTGTAACTCAGGTGCTGAGCTGCAGCCAGATGAGTTTATGAACTCTAAAAAATCTCACGAGGTCCAGTCCATGTCTGAGGTGGTGGCGTGTTTGGCTAAGTGCTGTGGAGTCAGACAGGTGAGGTGACACTTTATAGCTGCTGAGGAGAGAGTTTTAATATGATTTAAGGCATTGTTATGACTTCTATCTTCTCTTCTCACCCAGGTGATCGATGTGGGGTCAGGGAAAGGCTACCTGAGTTCTTTCCTCTCACTGCAGTACGGTCTCCAAGTCTACGGCATCGACTCTTCAAGCATCAACACCCACGGCGCCCAGGAGAGGAACAGGAAGCTGAAGAAGTTCTCCAGATCCTACCAGAAACGCATTAAGGCTGTGGAGGCACAGAGAGAAGCCGAGCAGTCGCATCAGGACACGTCAGAAGAAGAGAAAGTTGGATTCAGTGGAGACGGTGGCGTTTTATGTGGCGCTGAGGGAGAAATTATGTCAGAGGAGACGGAGAAGGATTTCTCAGATGTCAGCTCTGCACGGCCAAATCCGGAAACAGAGGAGATGTTCCTCAGCGCCTTATCATTGGATGTGATCGAAACGATGCCCCCTAGAATTTCTCCAACTCTGCTGAGTGCCGAGGAGAGGGAGAGGAGGAAGAAGGAGAACCTGGAAAAGAAAGCTCTAAACAGAACCGATGGCACGAGTGCTGTCTTTTCACCCCTCACCTCTTATGTCACAGCTGAAACAGAGCTGCGGGAACTCATCAGTGAGCTCGAGGTGAGCAGTCCGTATTTAAAAAAACATATATCAACTCAGATTTAATGTTATTGGGTTGTAGGCGGTTTGGAGGCCAACTGTATAGAAGCTACGCCCGACTCCTTCCCACAGCGGCCCCCTCAAATTAAAAGTCTGCCATCACAGCTGGAGTTTGCATCACTGGGGCAACAGTGGGCGGTAACTGTTGTGCCAAATGTGCAGGGATGTCATCATCAATAAATTTGACCATTGATCTTCAACCCCTCCCTACTTCCTCCTCCCTCCTCATATTCTTTGTGTGCTTCCTCCAAATTCTAGCACGCGGTCATGGTCGGCCTCCACACGTGCGGAGACTTGGCGCCCAGCACCCTGAGGATGTTCGTGGCCAAGCCGGAGCTGAGTGCAGTCTGCAGCGTGGGCTGCTGCTATCACCTGCTGACCGAGGAGTTTGACCCAGCTGTGCAGGGTAACCACCAGAACACTGACGCTTCCAGTGAAAGAGTCAGCACACTGATCAAAACCAGATTAGCGCTGAGGTTTTAATCTGGAGGGGGTTTTTCTTGCCAAACGCGGCCACACACTTGATCTCCAGTCACAGTGAAGTCTTCGTTGTAACCAAGTAGCTTCATATTTGCTGCACTAGCTCAGATAAGCTAAACTAAGTCAAAACAAGTCCAAAGTCAGTTACATGTCAGCATCCTGCTAATTCTTTACAGTTGTAGAGCCAGTGATGCCTTCAAGGTCCTAAGAAAAATGGGTTGCAGTACCTAGCAGTACGCTGCTAAGGGCTAAATCTCTCCTACAATTAGAGTCTGTTTTCACAGTCTGCAAGGGCTAAATCTCTCCTACAATTAGAGGCCCTGAAGGGCCAGTGTTGTTTTCACAGTCTGTTGAGGTAGACGAACACCAGTACTTTTAATCTCATTGCTGTGGCCAAAATTAAGTTTATAAAAAAACACGGGCCACTTCATAAAAACTTAAAAAGTGATGTCAGGAGGATTGCTTTTGTTTGGGACTGTTTTACTGCTACAATTGTGAAGGAAACTTGAGTTAAAGATCCCAGAGTGTTAGAAAATCCTTGCACGTGTTTCTGCCTCGCACAAAAACAAGTTTCTGTTGTTCTCCATGGTTTTCCACTTTGCACAGTCCCACCAGGGACACCCACTGGGTCGTCACTTCATTACAGTGTAATATGGAAATGAATCATCCTGCATCGACGCACTCTCTACATCAATATTTTATGGTCAATGTCCAAGATGTTTTGCAGCCAAGTCGTCTGTTTCCAGATTGAGTTCAGCTGACGGGGTGAGGGAAGGGGAGAGAAAAATAAGGCCTTACTGGATGTGACTGATGCTGTTAATGCAGGATTCAGTGCTATTTCTGTAATACTTGCGATAATAAAACGTGTTTATACTGCAAATGCAATCAAAGGTTAGGGTAAACTAGTCAGCAAAAAAAAAGTAATTGCAAAAAATTACATATATATGTAACAAATTGCATAAAATAGCATAACTTAATCAAGGTACATGAGATGGCAGACAAGTCAGCATCAAATCTGAACAAAACCGGCCGTAGTTAGGACACGTTAAAATATAACAACTCAGGTTAACAAGGTGAAAGGCTTGAAGTTAGCCAGGACATAGCTGAAATTAGCTTAAATTTTGGCCAAAAGATTCAAGTCAACCAAAAAGATTTCTAATTAAAACCAAGATCTGACAAAAAAGAAGAAAAAAATATCATACCCCAAGATCTGACAAAAAAGAAGAAAAAAGAAAAAAAATATCATACTTGTTCCAAGTGCCAGGATTGTCCCCTGAGCCAAGTATTGGACAACGCCAAGTGATGTCACTTCACTTACATCCTACTTTACATTAAACTTAACGTGGTATGAAATCATCTGCCTACTTGCATGCTCGGCCTGTAGCGTGTTCGCTGGAGTCGACGCTGCATCACATCATTCCTTGTTAACGGCGTGACCTTTGACCTCCTCGTCGTGGCTGCAGCCAAGAGCTGAAAGTGATATCATGACAGCTGATTGAAAACACTCCTGGTTCTGTCCAACTTTGCCTGTTTCTTCGACTTGTTGCTCCAGCTACATCTTTCGAAAGGAGTCAACAAAAGGATTCATATAAACACACACTCTTTTATACACACACACACACACACACACACACTTCTGCTCTCCCACGTTACAGTGCAGTCTGGGAGGCAGGCCAGCTCCCCTGGTGGCCTGTTTTACCCTAGAGACAGAGATGATGAAGAAGTTACATTAAAGGAAGCAGTGATATAGAGAATGGATGTAAAGTCAAATAATTCTAATAAACACTTTAGTTGACGATACTGTAATTTAACCATGGAGTCAGGAAGGACGTGTCCACTTCAATCACCTCCCACCATCCGTTATATTGAGCTCTGAGCGGGACGTAGGGGTAACTGACCGGACTGTATACATGTCCCTGTGTCCTCCTCAGTTTCCCATCTGCCCCAGCTGCACATGTTATTAGAGCTTTGATCCCTCTGGTTTCGTGGCGTCTTAGCCTCAGACGCTGACCTGCTTAAAAAATGACATGAAAAGAATGGCGGTATGTCAAGTGGTCACACGCAGTGGCCTCCCATTGGGTTTAGGAGTAAGTATGTGTGTGTGCATTGGAGGGAATGAAATACTCCTGCTGCTGTTTTCCCTCACAACAGCAACCGAGGGTCAGTGTTAGTCCAAGGTCCTGAAAATTGTCGAAAGTGCGCTGTTTTCAATGTTGTGTTTTCAAGGGTTTTAAACTCCTTAAATTTCTGACGAGTGCCTTAAAATGATAAAAGTAAATCTAAGGTTTAGGTAATATATCTAAAGTACGCCAAATGTCTAACAAAAAGCTGATGTTTGCTTAAAATTAGCTAAATGAATAGCATATCAGTAGTTATCAAAGATTTGGAAAAGTTTCTTAGAAAATAAATAATATGTGAGCAAATATATACATTATAAAAAAAATAACCAAAAATTGCAAAGTGGTATTAGACCTTATTTGTAAATAGATAAAATAAATACATACAAATGACATTGACAAAAACAAATACTTAACACTAGAAAGAAAAGTCATTCTCGCACCAACCCAATTTTAAGTGCATGTGCTTCGGTATTTAACGGACTCTCCCCTGGGTCACGCCCCACCCCATCAGCCCTCAGTTCTTTTTCCTCCAGTCAACACCAGTCAATGAAAGACAGACAGACGGCACAAAAAAAAAAAAAATCATATGATCAATGTCTTTGCTGCGAAATCACGTAAACTGTAGCTGCGTTTCATCTTATTCAGAGCACAGAGTACGATGGAGAATAAAGAAGAGCTGGAATTGACTTGGTGTCCTCAGGTATTTGGAGCTACTTTCTTATTCATCGTCTTGTCCTCTAACTGCTTCTATTCTGGTGTGTTTCCTCTCAGGGTGTCCTGACAGGCTGTGTGGATTCCCTCTCAGTCACTATCTCCACACTCACTCCTGGTTCTGTGGCAGAAACGCCAGGATGTCTGCGTGTTTGGTGAGTTCGAGCGACGCCACAAAAAGATGTGCAAAACAGCTTCTTCAGAACCTCAGGAATATGTAAAAGTAAAGAATTACAAGATTTTTTTTTTTTTTAAACCTATACAGGCGCTGGAGAGAGTTTCACTGGGACAGGGGGTGAGTAAGATCTCACACAACAACAACTTCTACCAGGGATCTCAAACTCCCGGCTCAGGGGCCACATCTGCACCATGAACACCCTACATTTGCCAATCATAATTCAATTTTGCCCTTGAATTTAATACATAAGACATTCCCAATTATAAAATGAGTTAGTGAACTATCTACAAATGAAAAATTCTATTTTTTCTAAACGTTTTTTTGAACATTGAATTCTATCATGGTTCTCCAGTGAACAGTTGCAGCTACAGTGGCCCTCAGCTAATTTAATCAATGACTTTTATTAGGTCATTAGGTGTTTTTACGCCTAAATCTCAGGTGTAAAAATTTTACAATTTTACAAATTTTGTAAAAAGTTTAAAAAAATTTACCAAAAAATTTAAAAAAATTAAACAATTTAATTTTAAAAAATGTAAAAATAATTAAAATAAATAAATAAAATAAACATTGTTGGTTGAACATTGTTGAGAAAGTAGCAAGAACTGTAGCAAGAACAGAAGAAACTGTCCAAACGTTGAGATGTTTATACCCGTGTGAAGAAAGAGAATTCACTAAATGTCTAAACACCAAAAGAAAAATAAATTTAGAGAATAGTTGTAGGCTGCATAAAAACCTAATCCAGTGCCATATTTGGCCCACGAGTTGGAACTTGGGACCCATCTGTCTTGAAGGCCTTTGAATAACCTTCAAGTCTGCAAACATTAACTTAGCAGTTTGGGGTTTGTTTTGTTTTTTTGCCTATGATTGAGTAGAGTTTTTGTAGAAAACACAGAGCTGATACACGACACCATCCTTCACTCATTCATTACTACGGAATGTTTATGAATATTAATGCAATCACAGCGGCGTTCATGACTTCACTTGGATCTGGAAAACAGACCTGATTACAGCCCTGTGTTACATCAGGACTGGAGGAAAGTGTCAGAAATATTCATCATACACAAACACACATACAGGTTCTATGGCTCCCTGGGGAGGCTCTACATTTTAATGGAAAAATAGACTGGATGTTGGATGAAGACACGTTGGGATTTTTTTTTTTTTTGTTCTCGTTTAGATTCAGATGGAGTCTCTCTTCTACCGAGCAGTTCTTCATGTCATCCTCAGGGATCACTACAGCGCCTACAAGAGGTAACGTGGCAGAACACCACACATATAATGTATTTGGACGTATGAGTGTGTGTGTGTGTGTGAGGGCTGTCGATCTGTGGGGCAGAACAGGAAGTCACACAGAGTGGGAGTTTTTCTTTGCTCTGAACCACAGCAGGAAGAGATTTGGTCTCAGGTCTGTTTGTGTAGTAAATGAAGCAACGACTGTAAACGGTGTTACAGCAGGTTTTAATTATAGCACATCACTGGAGGGGGGGGGGTCAGAAACAGGGGGGCCGTGTGTGTGTTCGCTGGAGGCTGTGGACTACTTCTATTGTGACTTCTATTTGTTATTGTTTTTCATTCGAGAGTTAGATAACGTTTACTGTTCATTTTACTTATATTTGCGCAAAGAAGTCATTTTGGAAAATCTGATTTCCAAGAGTACAAAGAGGAGAAAACTGGGTTTTGACCTTGACCTTACTATTCCTGACTTTATCTCTGAGATTCTTAGATTAACGTCAAATTGTCTTATTTCCATCTTGAATTTGATGTTTATCTTGATTTTTTTTCATATTAGGATCAAACTATTTCCCACTGAACTCTAAACATTTTTTTTCCTCAAACGTTTACTTAAATTTGAATTTGTATTATTATTATTAAACATTATTACTATATTATTATACATTAGAGTTATATATTATTATTACACATTAGCATTACTTGCTTCTTATACATTTGCAAGTAAAAACTTTTTTGTTAAATCTCAAAGTTCTGATTTTAATTTCAAATACAGAGACTTTAAAATGAAATAAAATCAATTCTTCTTCTCTCTGATTATTATTGTATCTCTAAAGCAGGATGAGCAGCAGCTTCCTGCTCGTTTGCGTTCATTTCCCACCGACTGGTGATACAGAGACTATTGTATCAAACCCAGATCTGGATCAAGATTCACAGGAAGTTCCTGGTTCCTCTCCTGCAGCCTAATTGATCAAGTTCAGTTCACTCTTATCGGACGTGCTTGAAAAAAAAAAAAAAAAAAAAAAGACGCATCGAAGTCCTTCCTAAAAGACTGGGAGCGTTTCTGTCTCGTGGCTGCTCTGTGTGACCTTTACCTTAATGACTAACATCAGTCCAGTATTGAATGTCCAGTAACAGCATCTATTCATTACCATTAAGACCTTCACAGGTCCAACTGAGGGAGGGGAAATTAATGACACTGCGTACACGTGTGTGTGTGTGTGTGTGTGTGTGTGTGTTCCACAGTGAGAAGAGAGTCGGGAACGTTTACTCCAAGGCCACGTCATTCGTCGACTACGTTCGTCGAGCTCTGCGCAAACTGGAGCTGGATGAGTCAAAGGTCGGAGTCAGGATGTTACTTTACTCTTCTTACAACATGGTCCAGGAAAAGAAAAGTTTGAAAAAAAAAAAGGATCATTACACACGTACGAGTGCTGAGTGGAAAAATATTTTCCTTGGTAGTAAAAGCAGTTGAGAAGATTGGATTTAATGTCATGGAATTAAGGGGAACAGATGCTGCTCTTCACTCTTCTCTCCCTCGACTCCCTCTGAAATTCACACCGTTTTCCTGCTGCATCTCTGTTCCTCAGCTTTCTAACAGCGACGTCCAGGAATTCCACGACAGATTCAGACCCAGGATGAATGAGATGTTGGCCTTTAACATGGTTAGTGTTTTATTCAAGTCACTGTCACGACTGATTAATGAGATCACCTAAAGATAATACACCTGTGGTCTTCAGTTACTCCCGTTTTCTCCCACAGTCCAGACTCATGCAGGACTAGGTTAACTGTTCACACCATGTGAATGTGAATAGTTGTCTGTCCCTTAGTTTGATGGACTGGAGAACTGTCCAGCGTGGACCCCACCCTCAATGTCCCAACTGGGATTGGCTGCAGCCAAAGGAATTACAATATATAACAATTCCCTTTACTTCTGACATTATTCACTTTCAGCTATTTTAGGCATTTTGGCCTTCACACCTTGACATCTTTAGTCTGAGGAATCACAGAGCAGCTGTAGATTAATCCTGATCATATTCACCTTTAAGTCTGAACACACAAAGATATTTTCTGAACAGAAAAATTTACAGCATAGTGTTGGTGGATTTTAGTCACTCCTGTGCTTCCTGTTGGTGGATTTTAGTCACTCCTGTGCATCTAGACCAGGCATCGGCAAACTACGGCCCGAGGGCCGGATGTGGCCCCCCTGGCCTTTTAATCCGGACGGCCCGAGGGCCGGATGCGCCTTTTAATCCGGCCACCAAACATGTCCAAATTTTATATATATATCATTATACTTTTCCCCCTGCAATACCCGCATTTCCCCAATAGATGGTGCAAAAAAGGTAAAAGCATTGTTAGCTCAAACAAATGTTTACACAAACGCTCAATCTAGCTGCTCCTGACCCGGACCCCCGTCAAATTTTGGGACCCACTGTGGTCAAAAAGTTTGCCCACGTCTGATCTAGACAGTGGCTTCTAGAACTGAGCCTCTGTTTTTAACCCATCACCAAAGTGAACAGTGGGGAGCAGTGTGTGGGGACGGTGCCATGCTCAGTGGTGACTTGGCAGTTGGTGGATTCAAACCTGAAGACTTCCGGACCCACGTCCGCTTCCTTAACCACTAGGCTACCACTGCCTAACTTTGAGTTTTCAAATCGTAATCCTAATTGTGTCAGAGTACTGCGTCCAAACTGGAAAATACCCGACACCAATGTAATTACTCACCTTTCCTGGAGATGTTGCAAACGGTTGCAAGGCAGCCACGAAACCCAAGGTGGAAACGTCAGAGTAGGTCCACTTTAAATGTCAAGGTTTTATTGCCAGTTCCACAGAAAATCTCCAGGACGGCCTGCAGAGGAACTGAAAAGTCAAAGTCAACAGCTGTGTCTTTAGGATAGTTGGACATGGACACATACTTGAACCTAATCAGCCTTAGTTGAAGGTCCATCACTGGTTATTTCTGTGTTTAAAACAACCAATGACAGCAAATTACACAAATGTTCTTCTCAAAACATTCCTCCAGTAAACAAGTCTCATGACACGATAGCCAGGACGATCCTTTAGTTTCGTTTTCTCACGGGACTCTGAACGTGAGGACCATCCAAACTTTCCGGCCCGTTTGCATCAAACCTTTAACAACAACCTGCGTCAGCTTTCTAAAATGAAATGTTTGAGGCCAATAAAAATGACTCACTATTACATGAAATCGTAGCAGTCTGCGGAGAAGCACCGACACTGGATGTATTTCAGAAAACAGGAAGAAAAGCAGCGTCTGGTTTGAGACTGAGGCCACTAATTGTAGTGTCAAGAAACATACAAATTTTCCTTGAAGATATAAAACAGCACATTGGTTTTCGGGGAGATAAATACAAACAGCAGTTTCTGAGAAGACAAGTCGTGGTGGATTTTTTTGGTGCGTTGTTTCGATGAATAAGACATTTTTGTGGCTGGAAGAAACGGCACTGGTGAATGGAATATTATTTCAGTAGAAGCGAATTAATCTGTCTCTGTCTTTTCTTCCCGCTCTGTGCAGTTAAAAGTGACCCTGGCTCCCTGCATCGAAGGTCTGATTCTCCTGGACCGTCTGTGTTACCTGAAAGAACAGGTATAGTCACGTACAGTAACTGACGCAGATGTTCAACTGGACAAGTAATCAGTGAAAAAGAAAAAGAAAAGTTTCTAAATGTTTCTTTTTCTTTAGTCAAATAAGACGATGAGAAAAAAGTCTGAAATATAGGTTATAGTTAAGTCAGATACTATTCCAAAAATAATAAAAAATAAAGGTTCCAAAAATAATTTGCATGGATAATTAGTTTTTAGATTAGCTAGAATATAGCCGAAAAATAGCACATAAATAAATAAAAGTCAAAAAGCTAAATGTAAGCTCGAGCAACGTAGATGTAGATAAAAATAAGATCAAAAAGCTGGAAACAGATGAAAAGAAAAGATGAAAATTACCTCTAAAATAGCTAAAGTTAGTCAAAATATAGCAAAATGGCCAAAGGTTAGACATTCATTCAGACAGTGTTACCTCTTTAGCCAGTTAATTTATTTATATAAGATATCTAAAAAAAAAAAAAAAACATTGCTGGATTTTGACTGTTAGGGTCAAGAAATGGCTAAGAGTTAGCATAAATAGCCAGATTTACATAGAAGATGATAAAATGACTACAAGTAGCTAAAAGTTAGGCACGAACCAAAGCAAAAGAGACAAAAACAGCATCGAGCAAGTACAAACTGTGGCTGGAAATAGCTAAAGTAGGAATTATAATTTAGCAAACTTAGCTAAAAGGTCAAAACAGCATCGAGCAAGTACAAACTGTGACTGGAAATAGCTAAAGTAGGAATTGTAATTTAGCAAACTTCGGCAGGGTTTCTACGCAAATCATCAGTTAAACAAACACTGTTACGGTGAAACCCTAACTGTCTGTGTCGTTTCTCACTGTTGTTGATGCGACTGTACGGCAGGACGTGCCCGTGTCAGCGCTGGTGCAGCTCTTCGATCCTCTCCTGTCTCCTCGATGCTACGCCGTCGTCGGACTGAAGATGTTTGGGAAACAGAATTGCCTGAGCTGATGAGCGTCAACACATGACCAAATGATCGCAAATGTGTCATGCCAGTGATTCAGACCATAATCTGTTCATATTCTTCATGTCTTGTTTAATATGATTTACTGCCGCGGCCGATGAAAAACAAATGTCATTGACATTTTCGTTTTCAGGCTCTTTGACCTGGTTCTTCTCCCAGAGGTCGACAGATGAACAAACATCTTTCAAGCACCTGTAAAAGCGGTTTGACCGACGGCGTGTTTGTGCTTTTGTCTTCGTGTTTAAGACACTCCTGAGGAAACACTTGTTTTTCTAAAGACTGTCCAGGGATTTAAGAGCCTCGGGAGACACGTCTGGAAACACAATTTTGGTCGACTCCCGAACAAGAAGCAGTTGAGGACGACGACGGGACTGTTGATGTCCTTTTTTGTCTTTGGTTTTTGAACATTTTTAATAAATCCTGCTTGTTTTTTAATAATATGGTTATATTTTGTCGAGTGTTTATTGCATAACTCAGCAGTGATGACTGTGGGAAATCAAATTTACTGTAAACTGAGATGAAGAAAAATAAAGGATGTCAGGGACATCAGTTTGATCAGTAAAGGTAAAACTTTTAATCGCATTAAAATCATGATTAATCATGGTTTTTTTGTCATTACCCTGTGTTGGTGTTGACCATTAATGACAGCGACACTGGTGCAGCAGCGTTTCTGTATTTCACATCCACCACCCTCATCTTCTATATACACTAAGTGTACATACAGCAGCCCACACATCTGTATGTGATGGTGAGATCAGTTCTGCCCACGTCACCCCAGTTAAACTGTGCCACAGCTTTTATTTTTATCTCTGTAAAGACACATGGTTTGAAGTCTCTGCTGTGTCTGGACCACGTTTGGATCCAGCAGCACATTCTAAGCTGACAGCCAACGGACTCTGGTGGCTGTACTGGTTTGGACGCAAATGCAACCAATTCAAGTTATAAATATTGCAGGGTTTTTTTTTTTTGTGGGCAAGTTAGTCACGTCCTGTGGACCTGTCCTCTTCCTGATGCCTGCATGCATGTGTTTACGAAAACACACACGCATTTCTTTCATGTGCCCACATGGACAGGAGGAAGGGAATGATAAAAAGGGCTTCAGTTATAATAAACTCACAAACGTGTTTCTGTTAGCTGGCCCACAAACAGCTAAAAGTTAGTGCAGAAAATAACTGGGTAACAACAATGTGGTAATATGACAGTTAATAATAATAAGCCAAATGCTAGTGTAGGGTTAGCCTGCCATTAGCCAAATAAGCTATGAGGTAGCAAGAGGTTACTGTAAGCAACATTGATTTTAAACTAAAAAAATGTCAAGTCAGGTAGAAGTGCTTTTAGAGTTTAAAGGTTATATTAGCCATATTATGTCCAAAATGATAAACAGAAGTCCTCAAGAAACTGCATATGGTGTTCAAAAATTAGCCAATAGCTAAAAACGTTATAGCAAAAAATAGCAAAGAGAAAGTCATTTTTGACATGAACATTCATCTAAAATAGCTGTAAGTGTAAAATATTTCAAAACATATAACACATATTAAGACAGTATCCTGTTCGCTAACAAAAATAAGTTAACTAAATATGATATGATGAATAGTTAGCTCAGCATCATTGAGGGGTTTATCAAAAATGAATTAAACTAACTAAGAGTCCACTAAATCCACAAACACGTACTCAAAGTTAGTTATATTTTCCAAATGTATTTAAACCAAAATATTGAAAGCTAAAATTTAGCCTAGAACTTGCTAAAAGAATTAACAAAATAGCAACATTTCACTACTATTTTTAAAAATATTTTTGTTGGAACTGAGTAGACATTTCAAAGTAGAAGCACAAGCCGCACAATAATAGAAAAAAGAAATGGCATTGCCAAAAACGAGTTATCATTTACATGTAAAAAAGGCAATACTCTATGTCCCAAAAACATATAATGTAGCGACAAACAAATTTCCTGCAAAATGACTCAATTTCCTGCCCCAGTGGGGAACACTGTTCCCCTGACTTTGAACCCATCAAAAGACAGTGGAAACCAAGGCAGGATGTAATGAAGGTTGAAAGAGTCCACACAGGAAATGATGTGAAGATGATCCCACCTTCACCGACTTTCCTTGGCCAGGCAGGAATTGGACCAAGTTGTAGAGGAGGAAGTGCAAAGAATTCGTCAAACTCTGGGACAACGTGGCTGTGATCAACGTTTCTCACGGTAGGTTTTGGATGTGACACAAGTTCCTGTTCCTCTGGTAAATATGAAAGAACTTCTCAAGGTTCCTCCAGGTTCCCCAACAGGAAGGGCGCATATTCATCAGTACGTCGGTCGGTAACGCCGCTGTAATTAGGTCACAGCTGGGGAATATCACGCCGGGCCTGAAAGAAGCTCCTCTAATATGAACGGAGAGGAAATTAAATAGCCCGAAAAACACGAAGAGTTAAAATTTGAAAAGGAAGTGGGAGGAATGTCCCCGCAGCAGCAAGTCGAGGAAAAAGTCAAGGAAAAGTTACTGTACTGTTGCTGTGAAAACACCTGTTAATCCTTTTTATATCCACCAATTGTTACATAAAACCGCTGCAGTTCTTTCATCTGTGATTTTCTATCATCATCACTTCCTGTTTTCAATGTCACAAGAGGATTTTTCCTTCATCACAACAAAATCTGGTTCCGTGTATATCAAAAAACATGTTTTGCTTTCCCTGCCAGATGTGTGCTTGTGTGTGTGTGTGTGTGTGTGTGTGTGTGTGTGTGTATAAGAGAATAAGGATTAGGCTGGAAGTTGTGTTAGGCACACGCTGCTTGTTTTAGATCAAAATCTTCTTTATCGCCATGAGAAAGAGGTTATTTAGTCTCTGCTCTACGACATGTGGACCACATCTGGAGATTAGCCAGAATTAGCTTTTTTCTTCTTCTTCTGTGAAAAATGTTTGGTACAATGTGAGGCGTTCTGAATGTTTTTAGCTATTGACCTTTATTTTTATTACCATTTTATTGTCAGTATTTAGTTGTCTGACCTTCGAAATATATTTTTGCTAACGTGCAGTTTTTCGCTAAGGGTCATTGACTAATTTCATTTTTACTTTTAAAAACATAATCTTAGGCTAGGCTATTTTAAACATATTAATGACATGATTTTATTTATTTATCTCATCAAGATCTTTTAGTCATTTAATATTAGCTATTTGCAGGTTTTTTTAGTGGTTAACGTATTTGTGCTATATTCTTGGCTAACCTCACTTTCCACTTTGGCTAATTGTTTTTGCTAACTGTTCCTACAGTTGAACAAATGTAAACAGGGGAAGATGAAATGACACAGGTGCGAGTCTAACGTTGAATTAATCCTAATTAATGACTTCTGTTGCTTTAACAGCAGCATAAAATCATTTCAATGAATTTATCGTTTCATTTAAACATCCTCTTATTTACAGAGTAATTAAATGCAGCGATGTTAATTAAACAGCTGTGCAGCCTGGTAGACTGGTGCATTACACAGCCATTTATTTTTGTTATGACTTCACTCTGACATTTCCTCCTATTATTTGAAGCAGTTAACTAATAGTGCTGTTGTGTATTATATCATATTAAACTAACTGCTGTCTCCTTAAACCCAAACAGTAATTAAGCCTAATTCTTTTTTCAACTCTTCTTTGTCTGAATCAGTAGGTAACACCCAGATGTGGATCTGCTCTGGCTCCTGGTTTCACTTCTGTTGAATATGACTGTTGCTCTAAAACCAATCAGGGTGATTTTGTTTTTGATTTTTTCTGTCAGTGACGGCAGGACTCGGGGTCTGTGATTGTCTGTTTCCTGTGTGATTTCTATCTCCTGGGGTGAAGAGGCTGCGTTTCCGCTGTAAATAGCAGGAGGAAATTACCATCATGGCTTAAAAGAGAGAAGAAATATCAGAATAACACAGCGAGTGGAAATGTACTGTAGTTAGTGGTGGAGGTCTGTGCTGTTGGCCGAGGTGAACGAGGGAACTGCAGCTTCACATTTGGATTTGATGATACTTATATGAATGCCTACTTCAAGATGAGGGGTTTCTCTCAAGTGTAACATTGAGAGCCTTATTTTATGCACAGCTGGGCTTAAATAGCCTTCAAATAACAGGACAAGATCACAGATTTCAGAACGACCAAAAAAACATCCAAGCGTAAAGGGTCACTATAACATCATCACTCAACGAATTAATCACAGAGAATGTAAAATGTACGGGGAACCTTTACTTATACCAGTTGACCTCAAACCTTTTTGGTCATGATTTTCCAGCCCCACCTGCCCATGGCGCCCCAACAAAAATCTGGACAAATGACATTTCAAATGTATTGAAATGTCCTCCTGTTTGTCACGCCTCCGTTCCCACCCGTGGGTCCCTGCACCACACTTTGAGAAGCACTGACAAGATAAACATGTTCAAGAACCTTGTGGAACCTGAGGAAATTTGTCAACTTAACATTACAGGCCATTTACCAAGAAAACCTAGAAACATTTCATTGTTTCTAAATGTTAGCCATCATAAACTGGGCCTGTCGTAGTCGGAGAATTTTGTTTAGAGCAACTGTTGCACGCGTACATAGCTAAATGTACTTTGTCCATGCTGGAATACGTGGTACACAGATACTGTAGTATACTGTAGTGTACTGCCCAAGAACATATTGGCAAAGAGTTGGACTTGAACCCAGACGTTTGGGTTGGTGACAACTTTCCTGCCCACTGAACTACAGCCGACCATCTTTTATTCAGACAGACACACACAACAAAACGAGTCATAATTAAACACCCTCTCGTAGGAGTCTCTGACTTCCACTTCAACTCCCATTTAAACTTGCAAATAAAGCCTATTAAGGCAATGTTGACGTACAATTATTCCCAGTTTACTCCCAAAGAGCGAGCCATAGTCTCATTACTGCATGTACGTGTCTCCACACATGGTAATCAGTCAGCGAGTGTAAACACCTCAGCTCCCATAATGTGTTTGTTTTGCCCCGGGCTTTGTTTTGTTTATGCAGGAATATTTCCCCTGCTTTTCCTTCAACTAAACCCTTAATCACTCACGGGGACTGCTGCAGCGCGGACCACCTCTGGTCCCTGGGGGGCAGAGTTCGGCCGCACGAGCGTTCGTGAGTGTGTGGGTTTAACTATATGCTGTGACACTCACAGAAACTGCAATGTGAGGGTGATGGTTAGAGAACACTTTGCAGAAGCACAGACTTTCTTTTTTTTTTTTTTAAACAGACGCAGCAATTCTACATAAATCGCAATAAAAAAAAAGCAGAGCAACCCGTCATCCTCGATAGTCCAGAAGGTCAAGGTCCAAATTCAGAATGACTGTTTTGCCTTGGCCTTGATTCATGTACCATTAGTGCGTGTCATCCATTGGCAGCCACAGACACATTCATAAACTCCAGTCACTTAATTTCTACCTCTGCCATTTTCTGCGATGGATTTATTCTCTCGATTTCCAGATTAATGGCCAGTGAAGCCTTGTAGTGAAGGGGGTGGAGGTAAGTGCACGGCAAATTAATCAATACTACTTAATTAGAAAGTTAGGGTGGGATATTGAGCATCGCCCTCAAGCACCACCAGCACCTACTCAGCTCTTCTGTGGTTACTTTAGCATTAAATTGCCTCATATCAGAGTCTGGATAATGGATCATCATGAAGATCCATAGTGAGTGATGTCAGGTTAAGGGCGTGCATTTTTGATGCCATGTTCCTTTCCTGCAGCGCCACCCTTCTGTAGACAGGGCTATTGTCACATTCACAGCTAATGCGTCAAAACTCCACTGGACTCTATGAAAACCACTCACACTTGTAAAAACTGATATCCTTCCAATAATTTATATAATTATAGTTTTAGTTTATATCAATATTAAAAAGGTTTGAAATGGGAAGAAACACTCGAATTTAGCCTTAAAATTAGGCAGTTGTGCTGTATCTAAGACACAGGAAAGCTCAAGATGTATATGTAATATTACTACGATGTAAGAACTAAGTTACAAGCGTAAGTTCACGTCAAAACAGCCTTCTTCATACTGTGGAAAGTCCAGTAATGGTGCTCACAAAACCCGAGGGAAAAAAACAGGCGACTCCAAAAAATCTTTCAACTACTACTTACTAGGTCTTAATAAGTATAATCGTTTTTTCCGTTGAATGAAAAAAACGCTTTCAAACTAATACTATGAAGAAGAAGAACACTGGGGAAAAACAATTAAAGTAAGCCGGATCACCGCTCCTTCTATTCGTTTCTAACTCTCCTCTCCTTCTGGGCTCCGGTGCGCATGCGCAGCCTGACAGCGAACCACATGCCTCCTCCTGCCTCGCTCTGCTCCGCGCTCAGTGTCAGAGCAGACACAGACAGAGATGCTCACAGCCGGGAGTCCGCAGCTCAGAGATGCTCACAGCTCCGACCCAGAGCCGGCGGTACCGATAGCTCCACACCTCCTCACTGAAGCCTCCTCCAACCCCGTCCTCCAGTGACATGGGTTAAAGAAAAACATGGGAGACTTTGACACACTTTGCACGTCATCATCATCGTGGGAAACGCGCTGGAGAGCGGGGCTGCCGAGCGGCTGAATTAAAATCTCAGTAGAATAAAGACTTCACATTAGGGGGGGAAACCGGGAATAAGGCAGATATCTTTCAGTCATTTCTACCCACGGATCTTCTCCCCACTCCGCTCTTCAGAGATGATCACGGAGCTGCTGTGCACCGCCGTGGCTCTGGGTCTCTACTGGAACACGTTGGACGCAGATTTCTGCTACGATGACAGGTTTGGTTTTTACACACACCGACCAGAACATCATCATCATCATCACCATCATCGTCATCATTATCCACCATCACCGCCCGTTACTCCACTTGTCATCACCTCTCGTTACCCTCGGCTCAGAGGGGATGGGACGTTATTGTTTTGCCAGCGTACCCGCTGGTTGACACGCGCTTTTGTTGTAATAAATCACTGCTTATTTGTAGGCTGTGGGCACAGATAGAGGCTGAGACTAAGGAGAGAGGGGAGGCGCGTGTTGTGCAACACCAGTTATTGTTCTGCAACTTGCACTGTTTTCTGTTTTGTCCCAAAAATAGTCCGAAAAGGTTGAAGACGCCACGGCGGTGAACCGTTTCCAATTCAAGAACCATAACTTTTAGAAAATTTTTATCAGCCAAAGTGTATTGATTTTGAGCTAGCTTGTATTTATATTCTAAGTGCATGTGTGTTCATATGTAAGATGGTGATTGGTTTTGCAGTAACAAGCAGCTCAGTAAAAGGTCAGAAAATCTGACCACAACAGCTGAGGTTGATTGGGTTTGGTTAGTTTGATGTAAGTTAAACTAGGGTGTATGAAACACTTTGGTGTTTCTGTCATTTTCATTTTCTCTAGTTGCAGAATTCCACTTGTGTTAATAACCTAACATTCCTGAGTGATTTTTCCTTCCCTCTGGAAATATAATATTTTAATTGAATGACATAACGTCCACATGGCTCGTGTCCCCAAGGACTTAGAGCCAAAGACGTGTTGTAAAGTGAGCCCAGTCTGGGTCAGAGCCTGCCACCAACGCTCTTTGTATTAAAAGAAGCTCTCTTGTCTGTTAAAACAGTGCGCCTCTGTCTCCCTGGAGGATCCAGCTAATAAAAACAGGCTGGTTTAATTTTCACAAACAGCTGAGTAAACACAGCGACACCTGATCAGATCGAGAGAATTAAAAAAAAAAAAGTTCTTTGTTTTCCAAATGCGCAAACATGTGAAGCAAAGAAAGGGCTGTTGGCAGCACTGGATTAGATCGAGAACCTTCCTGACCTTGGTAGGTCTGCATTTGGTCAGTTCCATGTCCTACAGCGGATTAGATCGAGAACCTTCCTGACCTTGTTAGGTCTGCATTTGGTCAGTTCTATGTCCTACAGCTCTGAGTGTTGTACAGTTGAGGGTCAGCTCAAGGATGCTGCTTTCCTTAAGTCAGGGAAATTCAAGACTAAAGATGGTAACAGATGCTTCTGCATAGCAACAGACAAGATATAAACACAGGTGTAGCACCTATTGTGACCACTAAATGACACCCGAATTATATTACAAAATAATGTCGATGTCATAGAAACTATGCTGAAAAAAGATGCCAAACTGAAACACTACTGGACAGACATTCATTCACACATTACATTAACTGTCAATAAAACTGGATGATGGTTTTGTTCAAGTTAAGGTTTTAAAAATTGACAAATAAATTTGAAACTACAGATCTACAGGTAATGGTCTTCACAGACCTTGGCTTGTATTGAAAGGTTACACATGTATTTTTATGTGCTTTTAGTGATCGCTTCGACATTTGGAGACAAACTGAAGCCATTTTTGATATTAAATATCAAGAATTCAACGACTGAAATTAATGCCTGGTCAGTTTAATAGGTTCTGGAACAGATACTTATTTCATGAAGGAATCTGAAATGGAACGATATTTTTTTGTTCTACAGTATATCAGTCTTGGTGTGTTCTTGGGTGGTCAGTAGGTAATCCCTATCAGAAATCCATCCTTCGATAAAAGACAAAATCTGTTCCATAAACATTATTTGTTTTCTGTAAAGAATGTCCAAATACAATCATTGATCATATTTAAAAGATATTTGCCTTTAATCTAACATGATGCTTTTTCTACCTAGTCAACAGTTCTCTCACAAGAAGCGACTAGAGTGGTTCCAGATTTGTTTCCTGGTCCCCAATCCCAGGTAGTGTTTCCAAAACACCATCTGGTGTAAATATTGGGCCTAATCTCTATGAGGACCACCACTGTCGTGATCCCTTCATACGGGACAAGTCCACAGTGATTCTTCATTACCAGTTGTCCCAGGGAATACAGAGACAAACTAAGATGCCATAAACTAATTGACAACTTCTGTGGTCAATGCAAAGACAAAAACCAGGGAGAAGGAATTCAATGCAGCTTCGTTGCAGGATTCCTTTGCGTCATCAATCTATCCAGTGAGCAGTGAGGACTGCAGCCAGTGGGTTCAGTAGGTTCAGCCATTCAGTTTTTGATTGAGGAGTTCATTCCTTCATTGACTCTGCAGTACTGTCCACGAGCATCAGCAGTTTCAGCTCTGCACAGTGTCAGGACTGATATCAACTGTTCCTCTCTTATTGAGGCTGAAAACCAAAGTGAAAGGACATGTGGTGGACTTCTCTACAGATTAGAAGAATAAACAGACCGCCGCTCAGCCTGGTACGGGTCTCCAGACATGTAAATGTCAGAGAACCCAACCCCCACTGTACTTATCACCACCATTAGTGACCCCTTTGTATGTGTGTGGAGTTGTAGGGAAGAAGGTGAGACCTTATTTATCTTCGGTTTCACCACACCTCGCTGAGTATCCCCATCAAGTCCCTGCCGCTGGTCCATCCATCTGTCCTGTCTCTACATGTGACCGGGACACGTGAGGCTGTCATTAAACCTTTTGGTGACAGATTACTTATAGATCTGGTCCTGCATGTTTGAGCCAATGCTGCCACGCTATCCCCTCAGTGAAGGTTCAGTATCTGACAAACGCTGGGCATCTGTCAAAGTCACCACAGTAATTCACACTCTGGGGGGGGGGGGGGGGGGGGGAGCAGACACTTGCGTTTAGGTTCAGTGCTCTTAGATGGAGGAGTGTGAATACCAATCAGAGGCCTGACCTTCCAACAGTCATTTATCAAACGTCTTCCTCGATCAGGGTCAAGAGCTGCGTGCTCCCGGTCTCTTCCTTAGGGGGATTAGAGAAGAGTTATGACCGAAAGGTTAAAGTAAAAGAGAGTGGAGGAGAGTTGCTCCTTAGGGGGATTAGAGAAGAGTTATGACCAAAAGGTTAAAGTAAAAGAGAGACCAAAGTGGAGGAGAGTTGCTCTGACCATATTTCTCCAGAGCTGCTGAGACCCAATACTGTTTTCCTCAATTTCTTGTAAACGATTCCAATCTTATCTGACCTTTTTACCTTGTAATCAAATTGCTGTTGCCATCCAGATGCAGTTCTGGAAAAGCAGATAACCCATCTGTGTCCTTGCACACCAATTTGTGGGGATGTCCTGGCCACTCTCTGCTTTTTCAATCATGTCAAGTGTTTTTCCTGGGCACAGCTCTGTGTCTGGCCAACTACTTGGCCTGTGGTCACTCTAAATTGAAAAGTCTGCTCATGTAAAATGAATGGCTCTAAGTTCTCAGCCAGGATACTTTTTGATTTGAGGAGAAAAAATAGACGTGATGTGTAATCTTCTCAAAGTGTTGATATGTTTTCACAGGCTTTAAGAGCGCCTGCTCTGACGGTGTGGTAACAGATTGGAAAATAATTTTCAATCCACACTTTAGACTCTCCCTTGGATACCTATCTATGAGCTTTTGACAGGGTAACAAATGGCTTTTATATTATTGTATTGATGATTGAACTATAATAATGGACGAGGTTGAGAGATATATAAAGGCCTGATATCCACTGGAAACCAATCGGACAAGAGTTTTAACAATAGGCAACGTTCTAAATTGAAGTGTATCCTATGTGGCTTTTAGCAATCAGAGAATCCTGGAAAATTTGGGACTTCAGGCAACACAGCAGTGCAACTTAACGGTGCTTTATGGCTCCATTGGGGATCGAAGTGAAAACATCTTCCACTTCAGAACAGTCAAGCAATTTCATTTCTGGCTGAAGGTCTGGGATTAGATGAGTCAGAAGCTTAGATTTCACTTAACGTCCATTCCCCTCATAAGTACTGTGAAATGCACTTTCAGTCTGTGGATAATATCCCCGCTGCCAGGGCTGAAAACCTCCATCCCAAACGAGGGTTTAAACAATTAAACAACACAGTAGTGACTGTGAGAAGTTGTGCACTGAAGCAGCAGATCACCGAGTCTGCTGGCTTCCACATCTGCTTCTTCTCCAGCTTGGTTTCTGAGGTTAAACCATAAATGCATCAATGTGGGATAGTCTTCACGAGGTGCCTTTTCATCATAGCTTTAGACCTTGAAGCTTTGAACTGATGCTCTAATGATTTTTCCTTTATGGACCTGGGTGAAATGACTTTTAAACATTGAACACATAACGTAATGAATTTGCATATGAATGCTTTCTGTGAAAAGTGATGAAAAATATGGCTATATGGGGTTTATGTACTGGCAAGCAATAGACATTACAACCAACAAGATCCAGTGTGGAAATAACTTCCAAGTTGTACAAACCAAGAGGGACTGTTTGTGGCTGTTACTTCAGATTCGACTCAAGTTAGATGAGTCATAATGTGACCGTGTTAGAAAGACAACGATTAGTCATCTCTAACCACTTATGTACTGTAATTAGTTTTTTTGTTTTTTGCTTAACAACGTCATAGAAATATACAGATGCTTGCGAGGGATTTCAACAGTTTATCTTTTCATTCTTCTGGGCTGATTTGCAAGTACATTTTAGCAAATTCTCAGCAAGTTTGACTTGAAACTGTCATTTTGGGTAGTTTGAAGGGGCTATCTCTGGTTAGCTTGTTTTCTTTGTTTGCTATTCACCAAATTGCACATCTTTTAAATGCCATTGGTGAACATTTAATACCAATATCCATGCTTTTGAGTGGTGTATCAAAATGTTCAGTTTTCTGTGTCATGCCCAAGTATGCGAAGGGGCAATAAAAGCCGTCATATTTTTCCAACAGTGATTTCAGAAATTTTCAGTGAAAGCTGCCTGAAGCCCTCACTGTGATCTGGCCTTAGCTTTACTGCTCTCATCTGTTTCCAAATCCCCGATAAGCTCCATTTTGTTAATGTCCAACTAATGAAACCCACAGACAAGGCTAACTAGAAACAGGAGAATAAATCAGTGCCTGAAGTGAGTAAAAATTAATGCTTCTTGATTTTAAACAGGTAATTTTCTCTGTTGTAATCTGTTCTTCATTTCTGTCAAGTGATAAAAAGTGTTTTTTTTTTACCTCTAACATGCGGGGTCATGTGGTTTATAGCAAGATGCCCCCAAGCTAGCATATGGTTTTAAGTTATAAACTGCAACATCTCACCAAGCCTTAACCTTGGTTCTCCCAATGATGCCCTTTTTCTCATTGCACTGCTTATGCTAATCTTTAGCCAGTGTATATTAGTCAATTTCTTTAAGGCTCTTCGTGTACATTGATAGTTAAGTTGTATTTCCCAAAAGAATTGATTGGTAATCTATATTTTCAGTTTTGCTAAACTCATGTAACCATTTTACTTTTCAACCTGTCTGTTTTGCTTGCTTACAAACAGCAAGAACACAAAGTCAGTCTTCGTTTTATCAAGGCTGCCTGACTTTTAAGCCACTGTCAATTTAAACTTTCACCTTAGTTTTACGACAACAAACGGAACTTAAAAAGCCGTAGATGTTACGGTCACTGTTATTAAAAATTGTGTTTAGGCTGCTGAAGTAATAATAAATGTTTGAATTGGAGATTAAGGTTAGATGTAGGCTAAGGAAGCAAAAAAAAACAAAAAAACCCCCACATTCAATACCAGAGGAATTGTGCTTGCCTGAGAGAATTTCCCAGTGTAAGCGATTTTTTAATGTGCAACACTGTGTTGAATTCACAAGAATGTTTTTAAAAACAACAATGTGGCCATACTAAGTTATGTACAAAGTGCTTATGAATTGTTTTTTGAGCTTGTTTTGAGGACAGAGTGCCGTCTGTGTAGGAAAACTATTTTCAGGGAGTTACAAAAGGGCAAACCACAAGAAAAGTATGGTTTGGCGGTGCTGAAGGAGTTCCATATACTGTCCGTGTTTTTTAAAATAGTTTGCATTGTGTTTTTTGAGACGTTCACATATGGTCTCACTCCCCGGTGTTGTTATTTGTCTCTAAAGACAATGGATTTAGGGGAAATACGTCTTCTCCCGATAACGAGCAGCTTTCAGTTATTTCAGCACAATAGCTGAAGATGAATGCTTCTAAAACTGCTTGACAACAAATTTTGCAGAACATTTATTACATTGTGTAGTAGCTGAATACTTAAAGATGAAATAGTGAAGCCCATCTTCATATCTTGGGATGAGCTCCCGCTCTAACAATAAAAAAAAGTCTCTTGGCGACCAGAAATGCTGGCATGGCTCGCTGTTCCTAATGAAAGGGTAGTGATGCAAACGCAAGGCAGTTTGTCAGAAACATTCTGTGAAAGGTATTGGCCATAGTAGTTTGAATCCCCATCATTTACAGCCATAAGAACTGCCAACATGAATTAAGAATATGCGAAGGATTTGAGGTTTCCTCTGGCTCAGCATCATCTAATTTATAGGACGAGGCCTCGGGCTGTTATTTTGATTTGGAGGCATCTTCTAAACTGCCCAGGCTCCAGTGATTTTCAGGGGATATGAAGTACTCGTAGTACTAGAGAACTGCACAGCCAAGGGTTAGAGTTATAAGCCTTTTATCCTATAAGCAGAATTAAAATAATTTAAATTTTGTGTGACTGTCACTACCATGATATTATTTACAGATGTGGAATCTCTAAAAAGACAGCTGATTTAAATCTTAGCTACAACAGTGGAGTATGTGGGCTCTTGCTTGGTTTTCGTGGATGATCTGGTTTCATCCAAATACAAAAACATAATTACACTTTGGCTATAAATAGTCCAACAAAAAATGTGTTACTTTGTTATTACATACTGCCAAAAGCATTGTATTTTACCACCAATGCCCACATTACTGAAAAGATATTTGGGCCTCTGAGTTTTGCAAGCAAGCAAAACAGACAGAGTGAACAGTAGGAGGTTTGGCTTACACGAGTTTAGCAGAGCTCAAAATATAGATTCACAATCCTGTATTTTCATAGTTTTTACACCAGGTATCTTTCCTGCCCTAACCTTACCCTTTATTCAGGCTTGGTCCTTGTGACTTGAATATGATGGACAACACTGGGGTTAAGTGTTTTGCCCAGGGGCACATCTGCAAACAGTCGGCGGGAGGCGAATCCCCACACTCACTGAGTAATGGCAGACCAAACCAATTAATCAAGAACTAATCTTTTCAGTTACTATTCGTCATAGTTTGAAGTGCAGAAGTGTTCGGGAAGTTCAGCTGCTCTCAGCTACCACGTTACATGACAGCTTTAATTAATGTTCTTCACCGATCCCTTGTCTCACAGCCCTCCAACACAATTACAGTGATGAAATGGCCTTTTCATTAATTTCAGGTCATTCCTTCCTATCCCACTGGGACCCTGCAAGTCCACTCAGACAGTTGCTAACCCTTGGCTGCCCCTCAAAGATTAGTAGGCCATACTATTTTTGCCCGTTTGCCAAGACATAACCGCCAAAACCTCGGTCCCATGACCCTCCCTGTGTACACTGAACCATAGGGATCTCAAAACACCAGTATCCCTGGACAGGTTTTCTAGTGGTCTACAATCTCAAAACACCAGTATCCCTGGACAGGATTTCCAGTGGTTCACACCAAAGCTGCACATTTGTCTTGTCACGCCCAGGCTGGATTTTGGGAGTAAGAAATCCTTGGAATTGGCAACGAAGCAGTGAAAACACAGTCCTGCTGTTTTCTTATCTGTAAAACTGCATGTGTGTTTATCCTGCTCTTCACAAACTGAGACCCTTAATGACTGGGGGTTAGATTTCTACTACAGAGCACTTTGTAAGGAAAGCACCTTTTTGTGGCATTGGATTACACCAAGAAGCTGGCCTCCACTTTCCCTCTTTAAACTCCAAGGCGGAGTCCTAAAACAACTATAAGCAGTTGGAGTGTAACATAAGCCCAGCAGCAAGCTGGGCATCAAACACATCTCAAGCCGTAACCATTTCTGCTCTTTGTAATCGATATTTGCTGATTATCGCCTTTCAGTGAGTGAGATCAGAGTTTGTAGCTGGGAACAGCTGTCAGAGAAGAAAAATAAATGGGTTTTTTAGTTTTTAGTTTTTTTTTTTTTACTTGAGAGCACTTATATTTCACTAAAGCCGGCACGAATTCTGGCTTTTCATCAGGTTGTTATTCAGGATCACGAGTCAGTTTGTGTCTGAAGAAGCGATGATGTGCTTGATGTGTCTCTGGTGAGAGTGCAGCTGTGAGTAGTTCATGGTAATAGTAATGAGGTGAGGTTCCAGCTCTGGTAATCTTTGGGAATACGCATCCTAAAACTGGAACCACACAGAGAAGACACCAGTGGTTAAAAAAATATCCAAATTGCTTGAGCTAAAGCTGAAGAATAACTTAAAGGTGGTAAAAAGTAACACGAGTTAGCAGTAGAAAGGCAAAGTACGAAAAAAAAATCAATAGGAATGAATTCTTTTTTTTACGACAAAATGACAAAATATGCAACAATGTATTAATTAATGCCAAAGGTAACAAAGAAAAGCTAAGTTAGCCCAAAAAACCAAACATTATACAGTAAAGTAACCAAGTCAGCAAAAACATCCTCATTGGTTCACATGTTCGTAATGAGATGGAAAATAATTTTCCTGAGCAACAAGCCTCCCAGAGGACTTCACTGGGCTGTAATTATTATTCTCAGTGCCAGGTGTTTTACAAAACCAGTAGAGATCCATAAGATCACTACACGGGGCAGTAAACTCCCCCGGTCTTCAGACTTCAGAAGTGAAATACACTAATGTGTGGAAGGTTGGTAGGTCAGCAGTGGAGCAGCTGTAGACCTTCTAGAGTGTATGTATGGGAGGGAGGGAACGAATCAGTGAGCGTTTCACACCTCATAAAATCTTGAGGAGGATTGAGAGGAGTTTTTGTGGAGTTTAAGCCTCAGGTTGGGATCAGATGACAGGCCTGACTGGCTCCACTCAGGGATACTGTTTGCTACTGTGATGTACACAGGAGGAGAAGGAGGAGGAGAAGTCACTATGTGATGTACACAGGAGGAGAAGGAGGAGAAATCAGTAAAACGGAAGGTTTCGTTTGCTGTAGCCGTCATGGAGGCACAATATCAGTCACCTGTAGTGTATCATAATATAATGTGGCTTAGAACCCATTTACTGTGCTCTTATTTTACACTTGTTTTATCAAGTTTAGAGATTACCTTGATCCTATTTCTGTTTCCTCCTGATAAGCTTCTAAATAAAGAATCACAGGAGATAACGCAGATAGAGGAAGTGTGGGAGTCTCCGTGCGTCTGTGTTGTTCACTGGGCTTCCCTTAGTGGGACAATAGAAGGTTATATAAAGTGGTGATGAAATATTAGATGAAGAGAAAGGATGGCGATTCGTATAGATAGGCAGGAAGGGAAGGAAGTTGGAAGATATTGTAGATGGAAAACAAAGGTCTTTGTTCAAACCCGAGGAGAATCTGCTTGTTATTAAGCTGCACTGACTTGGAAGGTCGGCTTGTAATTTTGGAGCAATGTTTTGGGGTTCTGCGGTGCATCAGTTCCTGCCCAATCGAAACGATGATTCATGTAGGTTTGGCACGAGATCGAGGTCATCAATCTGTGAGCAGGACCCAAAAGCACATCATCCTTCAAGCTAACGATCCACCTTTGTTTATCCAGGCAGGGACAAGAAAAGTTCCGGCCAATTGTCTGTGGTCTTTAAAGCGCTGTTCGATAACCCTTTTCCTGCCTAGCTAAACTTGTGATGTGATAATTTTGCAAGTACACCAAGGCCACTCTAGGGTGCAGTCTTTTTCTGAAAAGCCAACTAGGAATAACAATATGTAAAACAGATCTTAAGATCTTATTAGGTGTCATTTTAAATCCTAACTTTACAAAGATTCATTAATATGGAAACGATTTGTAGAAATATTTTGACTTAAATCGAGAAAATGCTGATAAAATATAGTCAATAGAGTCAAAAATATAGTCATTTTTGACTCTCCCTTGTAAAGATGGTCGTCTTGCTGCCAGAAACCTGGGATTGTTAGCAAATGCCAAAAAATTAGCATTTGATGATTGCCATTTCACCTGCTGACCTGTGCTTATCGTTCAACAACACGTAATTTGTTTCAGTATTTTAAAATTCATGGATCGATGTCTGTTTAAACTGCAGCAGCTGCGACTTCAGGGTGAGTTATTACAGTGTCTTTTAACGCCGGTGAAGTTGTGATAAATCTTCAGATGGAACTGTATTATGCGTTTTTTTACTTCTGATAAGAAGTTTATTTGATAAATGACGTTTGGATCAACATAATGCAATTTCAAATACATTTAAGTTTCAGTTTGATTAATAGAAATCCAATAGGTCATTTCTAATGTAAGTCTGAGTTAAGGAAACATCCAGTAGCCGCAGCAGATCGTCTGCAGCAGATCGTCTGCAGCAGATCTGTGTCACTGTGATGGACAGCACACAGATTACAGGTCACTGTGTGCCACGCTGCCCCATCATCCACCACACTGGTCTGTTTCCCCCAGAGACTGCCTCATTATCTGTGCCAGTTCTTCCAGTCTGCCCATTACTGAGACGGCTGACGGTGACAATTTAATCCTCGCTGAATGGCTGCTATTTTTGTGTTCCTGCTATGACCACTAGCATGTATTCTCTGACAGATACAC